AGACCAGGCTGGCCTTGAACTCACAGAGATCTTCCTGCCTCTGCCTTCCGAGTGCTGGGATTAAAAAATGGACCCCAAAGAGTTTCCCTTTAAAAAGTCTGATGATAATGGAAATAATAATACTGACAGAGAAAAAATAAAAAACACCCTTACACTAGGCTAGCATCCTTAATCATATTAGATAATAATGTTGTCATTAATAACAATACACAAAATTAAGGATTATAGTTACATTAAGTAAACTCTTATTTTTACCCAAATAAAACTTGAAATGTAAATAATGTACCCCAGAAGTTGGACTGCTATCAAAAACTTTAAATTAAAAAAAAAAAATCCTCTTCACCGTTCAACTCACTACAGAGGGAAGAGTATGAGACAGAATATGTTTCACTTTAAGCCATTCTGAATTATTTTTGGAAATATTTGTCTAGTAGGTCCATGACAATGAATCAAGATGATCAGGCATGAACCTTGGAAAGGCAGGCACTGGCAGTTCCAAGCCTAAGCAGTGTGTTCTAGTTATTTGAGCAGAATCGGGTGTGAAAACATTAGCGGCATTTCTCTTGGGTGCTTTTGTGAGGCTTCAGGGTGAATGGGTCATTTTGCACCCTCTGCTTTTCAGGCTTTACAGTAAAACAGAAATACTGATTTGAAAGAGTATTTGAGAGAAATGAATTTGTAGGCATAGTTGTTAACACTTTGCGTATACCTCTGTGAATCCCAAGGGGATGAGGGGGATGAGGAAGGGTCAGCAGATGGAAATAATCTGTTCACTCAAATTCATCCTCTGTCCAGCCTGGGATTTATTTCAGCCACAAGTTGTCAGCACTTTGTTAGGGAAATTTAAAATATAGTTAAGAAGACCACAGCCCCTTCCTGCTTAGAGAGCCACAGTATTCTGTTGCCTGAAAATTCTTAGTTGCTTTTCACTCTCACCCAAGTGCCTGCTTTTAGATCTGTAGAGAATACAAAGCCAGTTTAGGAGGGAGATTATTGTTTTTCTTTCAGGCAACCAACTTATGAATAGTTGTTATGAGTTCAGCATTCAAAACCAAAACTTCATTTTCTTCTCCACATACAGGAAACACATCAGAAATTGTTGTAAATCCTCTCAGATTTTTCATCATTATGGTGACTGTAATTTTTTTTAAATAAAAACACCATTTATTTGGGTGTTAAATCATAGATTGCTGTTATCCTAGCAGGCTAGCTTTCTTCAATCCACACAGTCCACAATGAAATCCGCACCTGGTTGTGTTAGGAATAAATCACTACAATGAAGTATTTGAATTTTAGCACTTAGTTTTAGGTTCCTTATTCTTTTCTGTTCCCACAAAATGGCGAGAGAGGTACCTCAGGATGTTCTCGGTTTACATATCCTTAGCCCCTCCCCCACATGCAGCTAAGTTCGACTGATTGGGTGGGAGGGGTAACTGACTGCCCCCGAGTCCTTGACAGGCGTGGGAAGGAGGTGTGACTGTACCTTGCTGGCATAGTGGTCAGAGGACATTAGACTGATTGGGTGGGAGGGGTAACTGACTGCCCCCGAGTCCTTGACAGGTGTGGGAAGGAGGTGTGACTGTACCTTGCTGGCATAGTGGTCAGAGGACATTTCCAGGTAACACTCCACCCCTTCCTCCAGCTCTTACATTCTTTCCACCAGCCTTTCCACAGCAGTCCCTGAGCCTTGGAGGGGTGGTAGGTGTGAGATGATCTTCCTCCCACTGAGAGTTGCTTCTTTAAAATAAAATTAACACTAAAGAAAGAATAAAACAAAATTATCATTCTGCATCCAAACATTTTTCCAGTGATACATAAAATTTGCTAACATCTTATGGAACCTCCCCCCCTCCACCAAAGCCTCATCGTTAAGGCAGAAAAGACATGCTGAAATTTGATAGTGCATGTAAAAGATACCACTTAGCATTCTGGTCCAACCCCACCAAACACTCCTGTGAGTTCATTCTGATAATGCAAACTGATGGGATTAGTCTGTCTTTCCCATCAGTGACTCATTTAGATTTAGTAGTGTAATATAAGCTAGAATTATAGTCTGGGGTCCTTGAACAGAGAGCTGTCCTTGTAAAGATTAAAAAAATAAGGTAGTCACAATTTTGGGAGTATTTTCTCAGTGTTGCTGGCACCTCAGTTAATGCTTAACAAACACATTCTTAATTATTTTATGAATTTCCTTCAATTGGTAAGGATGGTTGAGTAATTTGTGATTGATCATGAAATGAAGATCTGAACTAGGCATGAATTATGCTGTTTTCCTTCTTGATCTTCTGGCGTTGGTTACTCTCAATAACCTAGTTAGCCTATAACATAAGTCAGTGTGTAATGTTCTTACTCATCTAATAGGTTCCCATAGACTTTTGGACAACTTGCTTTTAAAAATTGTACGTTGTATATAATTGGTAATCTAAAAAAGAAAGAAAAGAAACCTCACAAATTCCTATCCATGACTGGAAATCATGACTGTGTTATATCTGTGCAGTCTTTGTGTGGGCTCACACATCTGTGTGTTCCTCAGAGCCAACCCTCCCAAGCTCAGGCACAGAGGAAGAAGAAGCTGTTTTAAGAGTTACCTCCTCAGTGTTAAAAGTGGTAAATCTCATAGCCCTCTTGAATAAACAAACATCTCATTGTTGAATGCTGCCAGAAATCTAATTCCTTTAATGAGAAGCACTCCCAGAACTTAAGAAAGTATTAGATGACACTTTCTGCCTAAGAAACAGTTATTTCCAACAAGTTGTGAAAAAATGGTATTTACAGTGGGGGTTATCATTGGTGAATCTATACTGCTTCTCTGGACTTTAAGATGATCTGATTTTTTAAACAGTTCATTATCTACTGCCACATAAAGTTGTAGCGTGTTTTGTAAGACTTGAAAGGAGAAAATGAGGCAGGGTTCAACTTTTAGGGATGTAGTTTGGCGTGACCGAAGAGGAAGAACCTTGAAGTCATGCAAACCTGCACAGAATGCAGCTCAGGCACTGGAGACTCTATTACTTTGAACTGTATACATTTTTTTCTTCAACTTTAAAATGTCAGTAATGACCACTGTCCTTCAAAGTTCATGACCTGACCTCTTCATGAAATCATGTCTGCACAGCCCTCAGAACAGTGCCACAGTGGTTGATGTTATCCTAGTAACAATTAATTGAGCATCTGAGATTAAAACCAATCACCAACAGATCCTGAGGGTTGAAAAGAAAAACTTCCTAATTCAGAAAGTCAAACCAAGAAGTCTGGCAAAACAGTTCCAGTCACCTCATGGCAATTTAAATTCATTGCTCCTGAGAACTTCTCAAACAGAAACAAGAGTTAAATGCCTGCTTGGGTCTAAGACAGTCAACAATTAAAGCTCAAAGTGGTGTTTTTAACTATGTACATAGCCTTAGCCAATAAAGGGCTTGTGAGAGTAAGTGGGATAATGGATGCTTGTGTGGTAAAGCTGGTAGGGGTGGGGACCACAGTTACCAGCATGCATTCAGTCATCCCATCACTCAAAAGTGCTGGTTCCCTTCCTAACCCTGTAGCTGCTGAAGATTCACACTAAGAGAAAACAGCAGATGGCCTCCAGATGCCTCCAATGTAGTAACCTCTTAGGCATGCAGCCTTCTGTTTTGCAGTCTCTGTCTCTCTCACCATCCTTTTATTTCCATTAGACACTCACATGCGCAGTACCTGCTATGGTGGAATCAAGAAGGGAGTGTGTGTGCGTCCTTTCCCAGGCGCAGTGACCAAGTCTGAATGCTGCTGTGCTAATCCTGACTATGGCTTTGGAGAGCCCTGCCAGCCCTGCCCTGCTAAAAACTCAGGTAGTCACTTGTGATGATAGTCTATATTCAACAATAGAATTTGTCCAAAGATTATATTGACTCCAAAGTGTTTTGTCATTTTTCTGAATTGAAGAAGAAAACCCCAATTTTGTATTGGTATAGGAGTATGGTCAGATCAGGAGCTTTGGGTTGTCCTTGCCTTAAGCTTTGCTCAAAGAACACTGTGAAGAGAAAGATCTATTTGCTGATGTGGTTATAATTGTGCACAGATTTTCTGTGTAAATATGTCCTCAGTTTCTTTGATCCGTATTGTTGAGAATATAAATAACTGAACATTAATTTGCCACTTTTAAAGCTGTAAGTTCAAGACAACCTGATTGTAGTTTTTAAAATCTTGACACCATATGGCAGCAAGTCCAAGGCCTATCAGTAGCTCCTTTTCCTTGGATAAGATTGACTCTGGTTCATCTGTGCTTTCGGTGGTCTCTGCTGAAAATAAGAGCACTGGCCTTCAAAACTAAGCACAGTCCCTGTTTTCCTTAAAGTTGGGGATGCTTGAGACACAGGGAGGCAAGCATAAATTACAGTTAAAGAAAAGCATATCAGAATACAAGCATAAAACTTGGTATAAGACTAGATATAAGTGAACTAATATAATAAATCTAAAAATAGGACTGTGTATAAATGTAGAATGTAATAATGATAACAAATTAGTGAGAGAAAAGTAAATTCATTAATAAATAATGCTGTTAGCTTTGGGGAAAAAAATAAATCAGCTCCCTACATTAAACCTTAAAAATGATTTTCATATGGATTATACAATTATCTATGCATTTGTAAATTAATGGACTTTCATAGCAGATGTCAAAATACAAGTTTAAACTGAAAAAAAGCATTTCATATATTCTTCCTTAATATTGAAGGAACTTACATTAATCAATAAAGTGGAAATCTTCCACAGAAAAACTGCAGTATGATGTACAGGGTTTCACAAAGTAAAGATGCATGTTTCAGATTTCCATGTAAAAATGTCCATTATAAAAATTATGATTCAGTGACATTTTGTTTACCAGATTAGGAAAGTTATAGGCTGTTCATTTTTCCTATGGTGATGAGGATATGCTAAAATGGACCCCCACAAACTGCTGATGGATGGGTCATCTGAGGACAGCAGGAAGGGATGGTAGCTTCAAAGGGACATAAACTTTTAAAAGTTTTAGGTTCAAGAGATTATTTTAGTTTCATAATTAAAGTTTGTATTGTTAATCAAAATTAATAGAAGCTGGATGAACTTGACATCATCAGGGCAGGCATTGCACACACGTGGTACATTTACATAACTGTATGCAAAACACTCATACTCACAAAAAATTAAAATAATCAAGCTAAAAAATAATGTTCTAGAAAATGACAATTCTTTTCTTCATTTTTAAAACAAAAGGACATAATTCTTCTAGATGGTAGTTTTGGAGTTATGTTAATGACATGTATGGGATGAGCATAGGTTTTAACTTTCTCTTGTTTTTATCATATAGCTGAATTCCATGGCCTTTGTAGTAGTGGAGTAGGAATCACTGTGGATGGAAGAGGTAAATCTGTTCAATTCTCTCTCATAATGATTATATATAACTAATTATAGAGATTTCTCATCATATGAGTGTGCGTATACTATGAAAATATACAAATACAGAGTACTAAGGTGAACCATCTCCTAGAGAAATGGATACCTCAAATAATATTAAGTGGTATTTTACACTTGGTCCCTTTTTATTTTGAATATTTGTCTGTTAAATGTGCTCTACTAAGAATGTTTATTAACAAGCTATACCCATGATTTTATGTGTACAGTTGTTTAGGACAGCATCACAGGGAATCGATTTAAAGAAAAAACATTAATTGTGCAGATAAGGTTAGAAAAGTTCTTGTCTTTAAGGGATATTTAATGTGGATCAAGTTTAGAATATGCTATCCCAAAATAATTAAGACTGTTTACGCTTAAAAATAAAAAAAAGTTTCTATACAATTACAGAAGTAAAATTCATTCAAATATTCTGATTTCTAAATATAGTATCATGTTTAACACAGCTCCAGTAGAAAACCAAGTACATCCATGTTTATAAATTTAAAGTTCTATGTTCATGTTTGAGAAGACTTTAGACAAGTTGTGCATTAATTGACAGCAATGTTGAATCTTGAATGAGTATCTAAAGCCAGAGTACACAGATGGATTTTACCAGGATAGTTTTTCCAAATATAAAATGAAAGGTTTGATAACTGCAGAATATGTAAGAAGATTTCTTTCTTTCTCTGTTCCTTCCCATCTTTCTATCTGTCTTTCTTTCTTTAGACAGAGTCTCAAGACCCAGAGTGGCCTTGAACCCCCGAGCCTCCTACCTCTGCCTCCCAAGTGCTGGGATTACCAGCATATGCTAGAAGTTGGGTTATCCTTTCTATTCTTGTAAATAATCATCATCAGAATTTGAACACATTGGACAAAATTTGATTTTTCCCTACAATTCTTTTAATTCTCTGTTAGTTTGACCTCTCCATTAGAGCCATCTACCTGATGGAAATTAGAAATTGCATGTTTGTTTCAATGGAGCTCACATCCGTGGCTTGCCGTTGCCTGTGTTTCCAGGCAACCATGTTTCAGTGTCTTCTGGATTCATTCCAACTTAGCAAAAGTGAGGAACTCCAAGTATCCTAGTACTTATGTAATTGCTAAATATGATAATAAAGCAGGACTATCCTGTGCCTTCAGAGACTGCAGAATTGTACAGGCTGCCCCAATAAATCTGTCTTCTAATTAGATAGCTGTAATACCTATTAAGTTGAGTTTCCCTTTGGATTTTGAGCCAATAGCTTATAACTTTATTAATATTGTCATATATACATAGACATGCCACATGGTTCAAGTCTCTGATTTCTACCAGCTGCTTTGATTTTTCTTTTGACTTCTCGGTGAAGTGTCCCATATTCCTCAATTTTGTTTTCTTTGTTTTATTTTCTGTTACTTTCTAAAAGTGAGGTAAATTGTTGCTTTTCAAATTTTGTTGAAAGCACCTTACTGGATATGCAATTATCAAGAAACACAGTGTCCGTGAGTGCTAAACATGCTCCATTTAATGCAGATATCAATGAGTGTGCTTTGGACCCTGACATATGTGCCAACGGGATTTGTGAAAACTTGCGAGGTAGTTATCGTTGCAATTGCAACAGTGGCTATGAACCAGATGCCTCTGGAAGAAACTGCATTGGTAAGTGATTTGTTATGCATATGCAAGAATCTTTCACATAGTTTAATCCCATGGATTAGGGGAGAAACAAAAATTAAAGATGGAAACAAGAATTCCTATCATTTCTGTTGTTATCTGTATACTGCAATATTAGAATCAGTTTAAAACATAGTACCTAGCTTCTTAAGGTGCTTACAACTTAAATTATTGTTTTCCTAAATGAGAACATATATGATGAATTATTAACCTGTTACATCTCCGTATATAATATTAATCTTAGCTTTTCAGTAAGCCATGGGCTTCAGAAGGGATCCAGTGCTCTTGGTAACAGCAAGTTGGGAACATACAGGTTGGAAGAACTTTAACTGTATAGGGAAGCGACCAGCTGCTACCTTTTGTCTAAATACTATAACTGAGATAACTGTGTCCCTTTTTTCAGTTTATAAAGAGAATGTAAAAAATTCTGTGTAATTCATATTTAAGAAAGGAAATGGAGGAAGATAAAGGGGTTTTTCAGTGTTTCATTAGTTCATATTTATGAAATTGGATAGAATCCAGATTTCCCATAGAGCAACTGAGTGCATTTTTATAAAATGAGAATTATTAGATCCATCATTATGCATATTTATAACATCCATAATATCTTTTACAACCAAGTAATGCATGATTATGATTAGAATGAAACTCAGTATTCTGTGTTTCTGCTAAGGGTTTTTATGATCTAACATACCCATTTGATCCTGAGTTTAGTACAGATGGATTTATAAAACTGTCTTCATCTTATATACTTTAATTAATAGAATACTTATAAAAGTATCAACCAAAGATTATTGAACATTCCTAAAAACATATAAAATGTCTAAGGATGTAGTACAGTTGATAAAGTGCTTACCTAGCACACAGGAAGCCCTGAGTTCAGTCCTCAGCATAACATAAACCAGGCATGGTGATGCACATCTATAATCCCAGCACTTGAGAAAAGGAGGCAAGAGAATCAGAAGTTCAAATTCATCCTTGGCTAATGAAACGAGTTCCAGACCAGCCTGGGCTAGAAACCCTCTTGCAAATAAATTAAATAAATGCAAACCACACCCACTTTTATTCACCAGAAGTAAAGTCACCTTCCAGATTAGCTTCTAATTACAGGTGAACACATGGGTGGTATCGTATTAAAACATGGAAAATTCTGTGAAAGTTCCACACTGAACACAGTGGGCACAACTGCAAAACTCTTTCTAGTAGATGTGTGTGTGTGTGTGTGTGTGTGTGTGTGTGTGTGTGTGTGTGTATAAATTAAAACTAAAATTTTAAAAATGAAAATGAAACCAAATTCTAGTGACCATGTTTTAGTTTCTTTGGTCGGCAAAGCCTGAGGTTGGGGCATGGGGAGGGGAGGGGTGGACCTGGGAGGAGTTCAGAAGTAGGAGGTATAAACATGATCAAAATACATCATATACATGTAGGAAATTCTCAACAAATTAATAAAAATAGTTTTTAAAAACTAATCCCAAATGAAGTCACATTCTGTGCTGTTGGGGCTTCAGACTTCAATTCATGTTTGGTGAGGGACACAGTTCAGTTCCTTGGAGAAACGGATAAGAAAATTATGGTGACTCTTGAGAAGACATTTTTAATATTATTTTTTATTTTTTTTAGAAGAAGCATATCATTACAGCTTTAATATGCTCAATAACAGTTTCCAGAGCAAACATACAGCTCTTTCAAAAGTGGCTATAAAATTTTTAGGTTCGCTGTTAAAGACATTTTTAATCATAGAAAATTTTGTAGGAATCTTTAAAATGTAATACTGATTTTTAATGACATCTTAAATGTCATAATCAAACAAAAAACATAATATCCAAGAGGGGGGAAAATCAAATAAAATATAAAAGATAATACTATGTGCAGTGACAATATTATATGAAATATTTTTCTGATCTTTGTTTTCATAGTGACACTATATGGTAAAGGACAAATATTTTTTATCAGAATAAAAATATAGCTTTAATTAAAAAGGAACTCTTCACCCCAAAGTACAGTTGTTTCTGTCAGTAATTGCACTTGTAGATATCAAGAAAAAAGTCAGTATAGAATGCCTGTAATGTTAGCACACAGTGAGTGAATTCTAGGTCGACCTCAGCTGCATAGCAAGGTCTATTTCAAATAAAATAAAATAGGATCAATTAAAGTATGTGAGCTTCTAAATTGAGGTCTAGACCATCTCTCCAGACTGTTCTAGATACCAAAGGACTATAAAAACTACCCATCAGTTCTTCACCAGTAACTGTTTCTTATCTAAAAATTGGGTGGGAAATTAATGCCCACTTTTTCTTTAACTGATGTTTAATGCATTCTTCTTAAAATTTCAGTCAGAGGGCTGGACAGATGGCTCAGCAGTTAAGAGCACTGACTGCTCTTGCAGAGGACCCGGGTTTAATTCTTAGCACCCACATGGCTGCTACAAACCGTCCTTAACTCCAGTTCCAAGGGAATCCGAAGCCATCTTCTGACCTCCGCAGCATTGCACAACATGGGTGCACTCACATACATGCAGGCAATACACTCATACACATAAAATAAAAATAATAAATAATATTAAAATTTTTTCAATCAAAAAAATGAAAAAATGCCATATTTTTATTATATATAAGTGTACAGGCAAGTGAGATTAACCTTTTAATGTATTTTAATCTATGCTTTAAAAACATAAATGTACCTAGCATAGTCCCATTGTGGAACTAAAAAGGAAATGAAGACCACCACAGAAAGGTGAGGCCTTGCCAAGTCTACAGATTCTGCAGGACTTCAGAGATCTTAAAAGTCCCTACCAACATAAGAATGTTACCATTTGAATAATATTGAGTAGATTTTGCTATACCATGGTATAGAGATACTGAGTCGGAGGAGTTTAAGACAAAACAAAGAGCAAAAATAAGAATTTGCTGGTCTGTGGGATGTTCATTCAGTTAACCATCTGCGTCTCCTGTCTTCTGGCATCTTCTAGACATTGATGAATGCTTGGTGAACAGGCTGCTGTGTGACAACGGCCTGTGCAGAAACACACCAGGAAGCTACAGCTGCACGTGCCCCCTGGGGTATGTGTTTCGGACTGAGACAGAGACCTGTGAAGGTAAGGGCTGTCTTCCTTGACTTGTCATAGCTGTGATGCGGCTATAAACACCATTCCCAGCGATAAAGCCACAAAAACAAAGGGCATGCATGAGCATTCTTTTTGATAATCTTTTTCGGCTGATTTGGAAGTTTCAGAGATAGCATTTATCTAAACACAATTTATAAACAATGTTGCTTTTGTCCCATTCCATCAACAAGCATTTGAAAAAAAATCCAATAGAAAGAGCCATGGTATTTTAGTTGTTAAATAAAATGTCAGATTTTGTTTCTTTGTTTACTTCTTTTAAAAACCACTATGACACATTAACCTACAAACCTAAATTGCAGAAACACTCAGCTGTTAGCCACTTTATTGTGAAATAAATCATAGACTCAAAACATTGGCCCAGAAAGTATTTGGGGTCTATGTAAAACTATCACTCCAATGAAACATATAGATTATGAAAATTATCCTTTCTATATGATCATTTGAACTTGTAGATCCTAAGCAAACATTTTAAAAACTTTTCCCCCCTTTTATAGCATGTTTTTTCTGCAGTGGAAATTACTAACTGTGTTAAATGTTTAGGGAGGCTGTCCTCAATGAGACCAGGCAGAGATAGCTGCATTCAGTTAGGATTCTGTCAGACTGTCTGCTTCAGAATAAGGTGTCTCCTGACTACTATCCTCCTTTAGGTCCCACTGTGTGGGCCTGCAGAAGGCTCCTAGAGGTATTCTCAGTCCAGTTACCACTTCCAAATAGTAACTTGTTTTAAAAGATTTTATATAAATTATTGGTTGAGTAACCCTTTCCTTATCTGTGAAAGTAATTTCTTAGTGATTTCCATATCCAAGAAAAGTACAGTAGCAATATTATGCAAAAAAAGATGTTCTCATTCTCTCATCTTTCTGTTTAACTTCAAAGAGTTCTAAACTTAGCTGTAGTAATTGTTTCCCTCCCTAGTCTGGCAGGACATACTCATCCATCCATCCCCCAGCTGAAGGACTTGAAGATTCCCCTTCTCCACAAATGAGTGGGGGTCCCTAAGAGTGAGGAGGGTCTGCAGGCTACAAGAGTGCTCTTTAACCCAGGTCCAGCTTCTGGAATATTCATACCACACTATTTTCTAGCTTTCCCTCTTGCTTCTAACACCTATTATCCTTCAAAATTGCTCTAAGAAAAGTACTTTGGGAAAAGGTAAACTAGTCGTGTTTCTTCCATGGTTTTTTTAATGAGATGGGAGAAAGGATTCTGTTTCTACTGGGTGTCTACACTTCCCACTGATTTTATCTATTTTATCTATTCAATTGTCTGTTAAAGAATAAGCCTCTTTTAACTCTCAAGAGAGCTGAGAAGTCAAGAGCAGCAGAGTACATCTTCTGGGTTTAGCTAAGACGCTGTTGATTACTAGGACAGTTTCCCATCTACAGTAACGTTACCTTCTGGTGATCTCAGGAGAGACAGAGTGGGAACTAAGTAGATGGGGTCTGTGTGATCTGCACACTGAACTGTCAAAGATGGAGCCAAAAAGTACTAAGAGGTGAGCTACCAGCCAGGTGAAAGGCACTTCCCACCTATGTGAATAGTGTGGATTAGGAACCCATGACCTTGAATAGTGAAATGTTGGATGATCACATAAATGATAAAGCACTTAATGCAAATCAGCCAACAGGGAAGTTTAGGGAGAGAGAGTAATCTTGACTTAGTTTGTTCCACAGGAACTTGTTCTCCATAAACATTAGCCTTTCCTTTAATATGAAAACTGTTTTTTATCTGTCATTCATATAAAAGAGTTCATGTTATATAAATAAAGAAAGAATGTGACAGAAATATTTTGACTCCGGTGTTATGACATTGGCAGAAATGATAATAAAAAATTATAAACACATGGAAAAATTATCCAGATAACATTTTACCCACAGTTGAGTTATTTGCATTTTATTAAGTGTTTTCCCAAAATGTGCAAATATATAAACCCAGAGCCCACTAATCTCTCTTCCTCTTGAGTTTCTTGTGCACAAACAGTATGTTTGTCTGTCTGAAGCAGTTTTCACTCTATTCTTTCTTAGTTAATTTCTAAGGACTAGACAGAGAATTATTACCAGAGTCACTGCAAATAATATGTGTGTATGTGTGTGTGTGTGTATACACACACACACACACACATAATGCCCTGGTTACCTATTGCATTTCTAATTCATGTTTTCAACAGATTGTTTTAAATATACAATAACACTAATGATAGCAAAACGTTCCTCTGTATTTCAGGCTGAAGTTATAAGAATTTTATTTTGTTTTTCTTGCACTCTCAGAGTCTGTGAAAGTTAAATTTTTTTATAGCAAGCACTGTGGTTTAGATTGTGTTTCCAGTGACATAACTAGTTAAATGTAAACCAGATGTGCTTTGAAGTTTATTTCCAGAAATTTACAGTGAACTGTTTCAATTTCTGGTTCCATGACATTTATAACATAAAAACATTGTATTGAAGGAAAACTAAGTAGTCGATATTTGTAGTTGTCACTGCATGTATTTATAGTTTTTAGTTCATTGTTGCTTAATTTAAAATAGGAGATTTTCAAACTGTGACATGGGCATGTTTCTTTGGCGGGGCCTTCCGAAGACTAAAATTAATTGGAGATTTCTATAAGGAATGCCCTTCAGTGAATCATCTGCTACCTTTGTGGTCATCTGGGTTTTTTGCATGTTGCATTTTTATAAGAGTTTCAATATTGTAGATTATATGCGTTCATTGAAATCTGGATAACTTTTGTATTATTGTATTATAAATGTTTTCATTTCTCTTTAAAGGGTTATTTTCCACTGTAAACAACATGAAAGCAAAATACATTTATGTCCTCCAAATAATTTATAGTTTAAGAGTTAAATTAATACCTGGGTACCTCTTTAATCTCTTTGAAGTAACAGTACCTGTTTTCTACATAGATTTTTGAGCTTCCATTTCAAGCCCACTGGCTGACAATCAGCTCAGAGACCTCCCCCGTTCAGGACCAGATTACTTTGCATTTGACTAGAGACATTTAGGAGCAGTAGAACATTCCAGTCTTACTGACTTGTTTTCTCCACTATTAAAAAAAGACGGGGGGGGGGTCTGTATTAAATTTTTTTAAATGTGTAGGGAGGAAAGTCTGGTGGGGAACTCAGAAACCCTACTGTTGAACTTAACTCTTAAGGTATGTTGACTTATCTCAAATAATTCACCAGTATAGGAATGCTTCTTTAAACTGGGTGATTGAATTTGGATGTAAAGTGTCTTTGATGTTATCGCTCATTCTTGAACTGGTTTATATTTATATTTCACCAGCTCATGTGTTAACTATTTAACTTTATTTTCTTGAGTCACCACTTGAGAATGTGGGTATATTATGGTTCCCTTTGCTTTTGACCCATCAACAGGAATTGCTTAGATTACAGGTATATGATTTGATTTAAAACCAAAAATAGTTCGTTGTAGAGGTCCATTGAATGCAGTTGTTTGTAGTCTATCCAGTTTTTCTAATCACATTTCTTTCTTTTTAATGGCTCTGCAGATTGAGCCTGAGGTCTGAGACATGCTCTGCATGTGGTCTACCACTGAGCAACACCCCAGCCCTGGTTTTTCTAATTTTCATTTTGCCAAAATTACTTGTGTTTTCAGGCTGGCCTTGAACTCACAGAGATCCACCTGCCTCTGCCTCCCAAGTGCTGGGACTACAGGCATGCACCACCACGCCCAGCCAAAATTAGTTGTGTTTTAAATTAAACCGACAACTAAACATGTACATAGAAAGGGCTATAGAAGGAGAAAGGAAGACCACAACTAGAGAATCCTGTGGCCAGTATGGAAATTCCAGACATTTCTTCTTGCTTTCCTAGGACCAGCATTGTTACTTTGGGTGGGGAGCGGTATTGGTGGGGGCAGGGGGGCATTCATAAAACAGTAAGTGACAGAAACAATCAACCTTTGTTATATACAGTGGGTTGCACCTGAAGTTACATCCTATTACAGGGGGAAACTAATCCAATTTATGCAGTTGGAGTCATGTATTGAAGGAGCATATACTGAACTCTTTCCAAATCGACTGTTCCCTAAGGGTCCTACTGAGTCCCCTGTCATGTAGATGTGTATCCACACTGTAAAACGCATGTCTCCAATCCTCATGACTTTATGCCTTGTAGATCCATATTAAAATTACCAGAGCCAAGTCTACCATACATTCTGACATAGCATAGCTTGTCGGAATAATATTTTCCAGAAACACATGGCAGTTCTAACGGAATCTTTTCCTTCTGGACTGTAGATGTAAATGAATGTGAAAGCAACCCATGTGTCAACGGAGCCTGCAGGAACAACCTCGGATCTTTCAATTGTGAATGTTCGCCTGGCAGCAAACTCAGCTCCACAGGATTGATCTGTATTGGTAAGATTCCTGCCAGGCACTGCTGTTTCAGTTTCCCTGAGAAGGTAAACCCACACTCGAGGGCGTCCTGAGGATGAAAACACAACTGACAGGAGAGCTAACAGTGTAAGTTAGGCAGGCTTCTAAACTGTTAGCTTCCTTTCATGTAAGTAGATACGCTGTGAATTAGGAGCATTTCTATACCACACACATTTGTACCCGTAAAATGCCTTAGGCATGGATACAATCAAATCCCTATTGCAGAGGTTTATAAACCTTCTGTCATAACCAAAAATATGAGGGAATTTGGATTCGGTTCATAGGACAAGAATTTAGAGATCTTTAAACTTTAAAACATAGAATTTATTGTTTTTTCCTTTCCCTCATCAATTGTAAATTGATGGGCTTCAAAAAAAAGAAGATAAATGTTTTCTTGGAAATATCTAGGGATAATAATATGCCTCAAAATGTTTAAGGCCACTTCTGTTTTTTATTTTGTTTTGAGATAGGATCTTGCCCAGGCTGGCTTAGAACTCATACTCCTTCTGTGTCAGCCTCAAAAGTGCTGGGAATACAGGGATGATCCACCATGCCTGGCTAACTCAAGTTCTTGATAATGACATAGGATGTCTGTAAATCAAGATAGTCTGATCTAGGAAAAAATATCATGCCTAGGGGAAGGTCCGCTTCTAGTGGTAATAATTCTATTCACTAGATATGCGTGGTTTCTGTCATTACCTAGCATGTACCTTTCGAAGGAAACTGAATATGTATTTAAATTAGAAAGAAATTGCAGCTTTACACAGTGCCATGTAAAGTACGGGGTTGTTGTTATGTAGCCAAAGTGAATTAGCAACTTTGTTTACTAAAGAGAAGAATATTTTTCCTCATTGCCTCCACCTGTGTTAGAATAACCTATTTGTTTCTGACTAGAAATGATCAAGTCCGAAGTTATCAATGAAACCATCTTTAGAAATACCCAGGTTTTTGTTTCCTCATGAAGTGCAGCTATGAAACGTGAAAGCTGCTCAGCTCTCCTATTAGAAATCAGCCATCATCTGCCGAGGGCAGGACTCTTTTTCAGTAGAATTCCCAGTATGGCAGGGGGCTGGGTTGGATCTGTAAAGCAGAAATATTTTTGGTGATGCACAGTTTCCAACTGTATAATAAAATAGAGTTATTTTATTATACAAAGGAAATAACTCGGCATCAGTCAATTAATGTCTTAGAAAACTAAATCTGTGAGCCACTTGAGCATCAAAGATACCCTTGTTTCTGGTTCATCATGTAGACTTTTATCATCTTGGCCTTTTGTCCTTATTGTTATTAATGAAATAAAGACATTTTACTCCCAAATCATTAAGTTACTTTTCTGTCTGCCAACAACTAAACACCACCACATTTTCCCAGCCAGAGTCTTATGTGTTTTCAATCATTATAATAAAATTTGAGTATTTCAGTTGACTCTCTGTCCACTCTGTGAATCTTAAGGATAAAACTCAGGTCGTTAGGGTTGGTCTCAAGCACCTTCACCTGCTGAGCCATCTCGCCAGCCTGCTTTGAACATATTTTTAGTGTGAATGTCAACGGTTCTAATTAATGATTACCACTTTTTATTCGCAATGTTGTAAGTCACTAAATTTGGAAAGGAATGAAAAATCTACTTAAGAATTACTAATTTAAAGTGAAGTTAGATCACACATGATTTACTTGGGCACTAAGAATAGCTATGGATTTAAAATCAGTCCTCCACATTTACTAAATACAGTCATAAATTATTTCCTAAACTTTACAAAGACCATTGCACTCTGGTTGATACAGAGGATTGCATTACACTGGTTTGATGGCTCTCTGCAATTCAGACTCACATCCCTCTTCTTTAGCTTAGGTCTGCACACTTGCCCCGTGTTCCCAGCTGGCATGGACATGCAAGAAAACTTCCCTTCCATCAAGTCCATGATCCACCCTTAATCTCATTGCTGATGCTCAGTAGTATTTGGGACAGTTCACTCACTTTGTCAAGAAGATTTTCCTTATAGACTTCTTAAGGGCAGCTGTTTTCTGGCTCATTCTTTCCTCATTTTTTTTTTTTTTTTTTTTTTTTTTTTTTTAAAAAAAAAAAAAAAAAAAAAAAAGAGGACGATAAATCTTACCCTCCTGAGCTCAGCCTGATGTATTGCACTTGTCAGTCCATGGATCTCTTTGCTTCCCTGTGCCCAGTCATCCTTAAATGACCTCTGCTGATTCTCAGTGTCATGGCTCCTTTCCATCAAGTCCAGACTCGTGTTTTCACCTGGTTATGACTCACTCCATTTAGATGTCTCCTGACATCTCAAGTAACATGTCTAAAACCAGATGCCTAAGTTTGTAGCTTAGCAAATGGCAACTCTGTTCTCCTAATCATCACCCCCCAAATCCTTGCCCTCAACCTTAAGGCCTGTCCTCAAAATGGACATTGAATCGGTCAGCAAGATCTATATATTAGGCTTACTGATTATCCATATGTCAACCACTTCTCACCACCCCCCATCCCATCTCCATTTTTCTCTTCTTTTTTAAATTAATGTCCTAGGTTACTACACAGACTATGGGTGTCTTCATGCCTAAATGTCACTATACGTCATTCTCATTCATTCTCACACACACACTGCCCTCCCCAACTGGTTCCTTCCCCTTTCCCAGCTATTCTTCATTTATGCTTTCCCATTACATGTGTTCTGTTGCTTTATTTTTTTTTTTTTGCCACCTCCCTAAGATCTCTTCCTCCCATGGATGTTCACCTTTCTAGTTGTGATGTACAAGTGCATGTATGAATGCACACACGTATACCTATATAATTTTAAATCTAGGTTCCACATAAGAAAGAACATGCAACATTTGTCTGAGTCTTGCTTATTTCACTTAATGACTTCTGGTAGAGTCCATTTTCCCGCAAATGCCATGATTTCATCTTTATGTCTGCACCAAACTCCATTGTGTATATGCACTGCATTTTCTTATCCATTCATCTGTTGATAGACGTCTAGGCTGGCTCCATTTCCTGGCTGTTATGAACAGGGCAGCTATAAACACAGACATGTAAGTATCTCTGTGTCCTGTTAACTTAGAGTCTTTTGGATGTGGCATGACTGGGTCACATGAAGGTTCACTTCTTAGTATTTTTAGAAGCTTCCACACTGATTTTCATGGTGTCTGCTCTACTTTACACTCCCGCCAACACCGGGTAAGAGTTCTTTCACCACATCCTAGGCAGCCTGTGCTGTCATTTATTTTCTTGAAGATGGTCATTTTGACTGGGTTGAGATAGAATCTCAAAGTAGTTTTAATTGTATCTCCCTAATGGTTAGGAATATTGAATGTATTTTTGTTTTTATATTTATTTATTTGTATTTTATATGTATGAGTGTTTTACCTACATATATGTAAGTGCATCCATGCATGCAGTGCCCATGGAGGCCAGAAGAGGGTGTCAGACCCCTGAAACTGGGATTACAGTTCTTAGCCACCATGTGGGTGCTGGGAACTAAACCCAGGTCCCTGCAAGAGCTGCCAGTGCTCTTAACCACTGATCCATCTCCCTAACCCTAAGATTGTTACTTATTTTGAATACTAGACACTGGTTTTCGTTTTTGTTTTGTTTCATTCTGGTTCAGAACTGAGGACTGAACCCAGGACCTTGCACTTGCTAGGCAAGTGCTTTACCACTGAGCTAAATCCCCAACCCCTGAACACATTTTCAAGTATTTATTGGCCATTTGTGTCTCTTCTTTTGAGAATGATCTAGTCAGTTCATTGTTCTTTATGTTAGTTTGATGATTTGGAATTTTATGTTTAATTTTTGCAGCCCTTATTTATATATGGTATATTAACCCCTGTCTAATGCATTGTCAGTAAGGATTTCTCTCATCAGTGGGCGGACTCTCACCCTGTTGATTACTGATCCCTTGTTGTGTGTAAGCTTCTTAGTTTTGTGTAATCTCACTTGATTGTTTCTCTTTGTGATTAATACTGCAGACTCTATTTTACCTATTCCCCCCATACCAGCTACCTACAGACTATTTTACACATAGCCCTCAGGTAAATAAGACATAAGTTAAAACATGTCACTCCTTTGTGGGAACCCCAACTATAAAACTCTGACTCCTACATTCACTCAAGCAAGAGCTATAGAACTGTGTCACCCTCGTGACCTCACTCCTGCTGTGACCATCTCCTATTGTTCTGCCTCTCACCCCTGCACCTGACCGGCCTACTTTTGCTTATGCATCTCCAACATGTACCTACCTTAGGTCCACTGTACTTGATCTCTATGACTAGAATGCTCCTCACAAAGGTTTCATGTTCTTTCTTCCTGTTTCTATTCAGGTGTCACAGAGCACCCAGATTTCTCTGACCATCCTGGATAAAGTTTCTTTCACTCTTTCAAGATATTTTCCTTGATTTATTCTACTCCAAGGTCTTAATTAGCCCCAGAACAAATTGTCTCTCTCTCTCTCTCTCTCTCTCTCTCTCTCTCTCTCTCTCTCCAAAAATCATGGATTTGTTACTTCTACATCTTGGTGCAGTAACACCATGAAAAGGTGAGGTGTTCCATGTGAAGAAAAAAACAGATTTACAGTTTCATGTGAAAAACAGATTTCACTGGCTGGAATCTAATCTTGATGCTAAGACTGAGCTATCAGATTCTCTTTGGATACACGGAGTAAATAAATCAATAATAGATGAAAGCCTTTAGAAAAGCGCCTGTCACTAACCCAATGAATATTAGCAGTTATTTTTACAATTTATCTTACTTTAAGTGACCACAGCCAGGGTAATAGGCCAGTCATTGGTTTGGGCAATTAAAAGATCATTTAAATTCATAAGTCTTCTACAGGGACTATTTCCTTTGTGCTATGGCACTCATGATTAAGACTGTAAAGGGTATTCCATTCATGTGACAAATGCTCATCAGTCAACCTTTCTCATGAGTATGTAACATCGCAACAGAGAAAAAAAGGCAGTGCAACTGTCTGACTCCTCCCATGCCGGCCCCATAACTTTGGTATCTAGTCAAGGAGAGTTACTGCTTTATTTTAACCTGCTGCCAGAGGGTTTGGGCTGTGGCAGCTTCTTGGTGCTATGTGCCATAGGGAATCAGAAATTACTACTTTCACCAGAGGGCTACCTATTTCTTCATAGTTCCTTCTTTGGGTTTGTAAAATTATTTCTGTTTGGTTTTTATTGTTGAATTTAGAAGCAAATCTTTGCAGATACCATAAAATGACTTTAGAATAAATTCTATGGGAATATACTTTGATATTCTTAAGGCATGTACAACCATACATTCTGAAGGGTTTGTTACTAGAGTCACCTGGGAAGTGTACCCAAAATGCAGGTTTCTTGAACAGCACACCTCAAGACCCATGCACCTGCAATTAAGAACACTGGTAATATTATGCACACTTAACTGAAAGCCACAATTCTACAAAGAAATTTTAGCATATAATTTGTGCAAACAGTATTTGTCATGTCACCTTGGAATAAATTTGTTACCACTGCTTCAGAATCAATTGTTTACTCTGTTCTGTCAACCATCTATTATCCCACCAAAAGATTTACTAACTACCGACCGTTCCCTTTAATGCACATGGTCTAAGAACCTAAAAGTGCATAGTATCTCGCTGGGATTTTACTATTTAAAAGGAGAAACTTAAATGCAATGTGCAGATGATTGTCTAAAAAATGAGAAGAGGCTATCTCAGATGGTCAGATTACCAGGTGATTTTTACATTGTGTTTATACTTCTGTTTCCTCAGATAATTTATTATACACATACATTGCTTTCGGAGCTACAGATAAAACTAAGGGTGAATATGCAAGGGAAGCTATCTGAAAACAATTACATCAATTACTGACCCCGGGGATGGCTTGCTGGTAGCTTTGCCATCATGTTCATCATCTTCGTAGGGTTTTTGTGATTTTTTTCCAAGTTATTAATCAAATAAACATCTTCAGTTAAGGATATGCTGGCTCTTACCTAACACAACATAGGTTTTGTGTGACTTATTTGGTGAGGAGTTAGGAAAGAATGAAAATGAAGCATTATATTTGTTCTTAACTATAAGAGCATATATCACAAGGGATGTTTTTCCACACATGTAATGGTGTTATCATGGTAATCCCAGTACCAAGATAAAACCTTGTGCGATAGTGCCTGCTCCTCTACAGAATATCAGTAGACATAATTTTACTAATTACTGTAGCATCTGGGTTAGATGTAGCTCAGTATTGGATTCATAATGTGTGTATAAAATACCATATTTAAATATATGTGCATGCAAGTATGTTCAAAGACTGTACTGTTCAAAAGTTGTAAAAAAATCAGTCTTATGTTTTGAACACTGCTTGTGGTGTACACAGAGGAGTTTCATTTTCGTCCAAGGTCAGACGTCCCAAATTTTCCTATTCCTTTTCAGACAGTCTGAAAGGAACATGTTGGCTCAACATCCAGGACAACCGCTGTGAAGTGAACATCAATGGAGCCACCTTGAAATCTGAATGCTGTGCCACCCTTGGTGCCGCCTGGGGGAGCCCCTGCGAGCGCTGTGAGCTAGGTAGGCCCTAGGAACTGCACACGCCATGTACTCTGGCTGTCTGTCACCGTATCTACCCTCCAAAATGTTGACTTTCCTGGTGAAATTCTTTCTCCTCTTGAAGGGTCTATTTGGTTTTTACTTGAACTGTGCGCAAACCTTCTGAATAGTTTAGACAGGGAAAGGAATTAACTTAAACCAGGTTTGTGTCTTCTAGTGTCCTCATTTGACTGTCTCCTCAGAGAATGTGATAAAGGTTTCTCCTGTTTCTTGTTTACTTGTAATTTAGTTGTCAATATGAGAGCAGAAAGAACTTCTGAAAAAAAAAAAATTCTCAATATGAGTCAACATTGAGGGAGTTCCCTAGCAATCCAGGGCTTTCTGACTTGAGGAGGGAACAAGTGGTTTCCTCAACCTCTACAGCACCAGCAATCAGATTTAATCCCTCCATACCATGTCTTGAGCCTAAGACGGATGTATTTTTCTTTTATAATGAAGTAAAAAAATCTTTCCTGTTCTCCATGCAGATGCAGCTTGCCCAAGAGGATTTGCCAGGATCAAAGGTGTAACTTGTGAAGGTGGGTGCATTCTTGAATGATGCAAACCTTAGAGCAGTGCACAGAATCATTCACTCTCAAGCTCATCTTCATTTTCAAAACTCTTGAGATTTAGATGAAAATAACTCAGTGGAGGGCTCTTATGAAATAGCTCAGTGTTACCATTTCTCCTCTTTATGCAGTTGAGATTTCATAAGAATTCCGCCAGCCTTCAAGGCACAGAACAGCTGGCAGAAGAACATGTCTGGGCTGTATTTTATGGACGAGCAAGGCTGTGGTCGTTTGCACAGCTGGTACCTAGGAAAGCTGGTGGCTGTGTTGTGGAATATTTTTGTTTTAACTCAAGTAATAATTCACATTGTGACTGAATACACTGTACAGGAAATGAGGCTACACCTGCTTTTTCTATTTGTAACATCTTTATCCCTCTGCTTACTGCATTTCCCCACAGACGTTAATGAGTGTGAAGTGTTTCCTGGAGTTTGTCCAAATGGACACTGTGTCAACAGCAAAGGATCTTTCCATTGTGAGTGCCCTGAAGGCCTTACACTGGATGGAACCGGCCGTGTATGTTTAGGTAAGATACATGCCCTCCTGTCTTTATGCATCAATTTCTTGACCTTTGGGCAGTGGCCAGTCCAAAACCAGACTCTGTACTTGGGAAAGTTTACTTTAAATGAAATATTTGCTGGGGGGTGGGGGGGATAAGTCACTCCAAGGAGGTATTTTAAAGCATCTATTTTATTCTCTTTTTTAATTGAAATTTGTGGTTTCCATACAAGATAATCTGATTATATTTAAAGCCCCCTCCACAATCTGACCTCCTCTTACTGCTGCCTTCCCAATTTAATTTATTTTATATATATATATATTAAGGCCTATAGAGTCTAATTTGTGTCTCTAAATGTCCTTCAGTGTGGGTTCATCCACCAAAGCCTGGTTAACCCACCAAGAGTCCCATGCTTGAAAGAGACTGTCTCTACACCTCCCATCTGTTGCCACAGTTCCCTTAGGTGGGGCTGGAGCTTCTTACCCACTTCCCCATGTCTATGCTGGGATTTTGTCTGATGAGTAACTGACCAGCTGTCTGGAAAATTCTGTTTCCTGTGGTCATCTACCACCTCTGACTAGTACAATCTTCCCACCCCCTCTTCCATAATAAACACTGAGGCTTGGGGTGCAGAAGTTTGAAATAGGTGTGCTGCTGGGTGTGGGGGCGCATGCCTTTAATCCCAGCATTTGGGAGGCAGAGGCAGGTGGATCTTTGTGAGTTCGAGGACAGCCTGGTCTACATAATGAGTTCCAGGACAACTGGGGCTATAAGGAGACCTTGTCTCAAAAAGACAAAAAAAAAAAAAAAAAAAAAAAAAAAGGGGCTGGAGGGATGGCTTAGGGGTTAAAAATACTGGTTGTTTTTGCAGAAAAAAAAAAAAAAAAAAAAAAGAAATAGGTGTCCTACTCAGGGATAAGTACAGCCTCTTGTTCTCTCTACACTGGCCAGCTGTGGGTTTCTGTGTTAATTTCTGTCTGTTGCATAAGGAAACCTCTCCGGTGAGAGTTGAGAGATGCATTGATCTATGGGTATAATAAGTATTAAGAGTTAGTTTAATATGATTACTATTTAGCAGAAAACTAGTATTAGATTCTCCCCTATAAAACATGTATTTTATTAAAATAGCCTCTGTTTTTTATGGAAAGTTGGTATAACTCAAAAACTTTAGTTTCTGACACTTTAGACAAGTTCAGTCCTTCACATTGAGTTAATAGAATAAGAAAATTATGCTTATTTTAAGCATAGAAATTAGAGACTAGGAATCAGTCTGCACTTAACAGCTCCTGGTAGCTGTGTGCTTTGGAGACAGTGGAGACAGTGATAAAGGACGTTGTTCCTGAAAATGTTGACCACCCTTCCTCTACTGCTTCTAAAGTTCAGATTTTCTTTTTTTTTCCTTTTATCTTTTTGAGTTTTTTGAGACAGGTCTCCCTGTGGCCTCAGCTGACCTGGAACTCACTGTGTAGACCAGGATGACCTCAATCTCACAGAGATCCGCCTGCCTGGGCCTCCCAAGTGCTGGGATTAAAGGTGTGCACAACCACCATACCCAGCCAGATTTTCTTAATGCTGTTTTATAAAGATCTAAAACATGCAAACTCCATCAACAGTCTAGTGTAAAGAATGCAATTTGACCTTGATCTTTATCAGTGCCATATCTAACAGTACTTGAATTTCATGATGAAAAAGAAACTTTTGTTACTTTCATATTGTAAGCAACAATTTTTTATTTAAAGATATTTTTCCAAATAAACTACGGAACAGTAAAGTTTTAAATTGCAAAGCATCTTTATGCTAATTTGTATTTAAGATTTAAGACAGACGGAGCATGAACAATGGTGATGTCAGATTACTAACCGTTTTTAAAGTATTTAAATGTGTTAGGAATATTTTTCACTAGTCAGTAGAAAATAAGTCTGTAATACCACAGTGTTAATTACTGTAATACAAACTTCATCCTAATTTTGACAGCGTATTTAAATATAGATAGAAAGCCAGGTTGTGCTCCATATGGAATCATTTAGAAAGCATATATTCAAAATATAAACTACATTTCTTTTCAATTTTTTTTATTTTGTTGATTTACTTGCTTGTGGGGAAAGTGTATGCATGAGTACGCTCACCCATAAGCGAAGGCCAGAGGTCTACTTCTGGCATCTACCCTATCACTTGCCCCTTATTTTTGAAACAAGATCTCTTACTGTACCTGGAGCTCACCATTTTGGCTAGACTGGCAGGGAGCATTCTGACCCATTTTACTTTCTTTGCAAACAAAGCAAAGCATTTACATGTCTTTTGTGGCCCATGCTCTATCCAGTGATATGAATCGCCATAATATAGACAAAGAATTTCTCTTCCCACATATAAATGCTTTATATACACTTAGTTCACAGACCTTTTGGTGCCAGTTGATCACAGAATGGTTTCCTGAGCAAATTAATCCAGTGGCCTTGGAAAGAGTTGAATTCAGGCTCCCTGTGCTTTACTAAAACTTTGACATCTCATGAACATCCTTCTTTCCCTAGTGACAGTACTGGGTGAGGCTGACTCAGAGGCCAATGCTTGGGAAACTATGTCATCGAATATGACTTTTGTTTAGTGTTAATGTAGACAACCGAGAATAAAAATCATAATGAAAATTCACCACGCTCCTTGAAAATGCATTTTCTTAGTTATAATACTTGGAAATGTATGTAACTCTGGGTCAAAGACAGTTACTAAAGTTAATGTCACCTTTGGCTGAGAACTTGAAAGACTCAGATTTGACTGTTGCTGAAACAATAAACATTATTTGCTATAGTTACCTTTCTATTAAGGACATCCTTCCCTCTAGGAAGCAGCTTTCAAGTTCACCAAATATCTCATAATGCTTTATCAAATGAATCATTTTATTTATTTAAGAAAAATCTTTTCTGAACTCTTTATTTCTATTTGTGATTACACAGCTGACGTGTAACTGTAGTTTAACCATCACCCTATTGACCAATAGATGAGAATGTTGTTCATAGACCATACTGACTTATTCTTTTGGGACTCTTTTTTTTTTTTGGTGGGGTGGGGGAGACAAGATCTCCATGTAACCCCAGCTGTCCTGGAACTCACTATGTAGACCAGGCTAGCCTGGAGCTCACAGAGATCGGCCTGCCTCTGCTGGGACTGCACTGCCACACCCAGGTTTTTTTTTTTTTTGAGACTATTGCTGCTTTAGGTCTCTTAACTAACTCAGGCTAAGCATTCAGTTTGGTATAGTTTGAAGTTGAAAGGAAAATCCATTTAAGCAAATGATTTGATGCTTCAATTGGGGATTTATGTATCTACATCCAGGACAAAACCCTGATCCAAAGGGTAAATTTGGTAGGAATGACAACAGAAGCACTTTACGTGCAAAAATAATGGGTTTTTTTTAGTAAAGTAATTTCAGTAGTTATACCAAATTGCAGATGTGTTACAGCTGACTTTTGCTGTTTATAACTAGACTGTAACAAGATTGCTCTAAAATGACTTGAAGTCGGTGAAAAAGAAGACTGTCATTGAAATTATTTTACTCTTTCTGTTTGATTGATCATGGGCCAGGACATGAGAGTCATGTCACCAGGAGAGCTCTTCCCTGCAAGGTTTCTTGTGAGAGTTAAGTAATGCTGCAGAAGAGCCCATCTTCACTCTCCCTAAATGACTGTTTCCAAGTAGTCCAACCAAGGAGGCAAAGGACTGATGCTTCATCCCTAGCATGTCCCCAGGCCCACTATCATTCCTGACACTGACAGATATAGTCAGTGTACAGACATTCAGAGAGTGTTCCGACCAGCACTCAACCTGCGATCTCACTCTTGGCACAGACGTCCGCATGGAGCAGTGCTACCTGAAGTGGGAAGAGGATGAGTGTGTCCGCCCTGTTCCTGGGAAGTTCCGCATGGACGCCTGCTGCTGCGCAGTCGGGGCAGCTTGGGGCACCGAGTGTGAAGAATGCCCCAAACCTGACACCAAGGAGTATGAGGCCCTGTGCCCCCGGGGCCCAGGCTTTGCTAACAGAGGGGACGTTCTCACCGGGCGTCCATTTTACAAAGGTAACTACCAACAGAGGCCTGATTCACACACTAACAGGACCCTGTCTACATTCTCTGAGAATTGGTTTTATTTCCTACATGTGATTTCTGACCAGCTTTAAGGTCCAAAGTATTAATTACATGTCAAAGACAGAGTTGCTGTAAAGCTGAGAAACAGACCACTAGCCTTTCTCTCCTCACTCCTTCTGCTGTCCCCTGCTGTCCTTGGATATAGTCTGAGCAGAGGTAGCCAAGCCAGCTTCTTCAGTAGCCAAGAGATCTCTTCCCCACAAACAACAGTTATAAACAACAGATATAAATCATGCCCAATGGAGGATAGAGAATCTCACAATGCTCATTTTCCATATGCTCAGTGAAACCATTTCAAACTTCAGTAGTCTTCATTTTGACATGAAAACATTATTATTTTCTATCATGTTAGATTTTTTTTTAAGTTAAAATGATGGGGTTGCTCGTTACTCCAGCAGCTACAGTGTGGCCTTGCTCTGCTTCTAGATATCAATGAGTGCAAAGCCTTTCCAGGGATGTGCACCTACGGGAAGTGCCGAAACACAATTGGAAGTTTCAAGTGCCGCTGCAATAGTGGCTTTGCCCTGGACATGGAGGAGAGAAACTGTACAGGTAAGACTGGTACCAAACTCTGGCTCCAGCTTGGCTCTAAGCAACTGCTTTCAAAGCCCATCTTCTCAGTGAAAGCATCTTTTTAAAACTGTTTTCTTTTGCTCTAAACAGATCCCCAAATGAACTTAAGAGCAATATGATAGCACAAAAATGTTGTTTGTTTTGGCATAAAAATATGACCTTCAACATAGATGAAAACTAGAAAATACAGCCATTAATTCCATGACTGGTACTTAAATGTGAAGAGTATTCTATTCATTATTTCAGTCTGTGATATATATGTTGTAATTTATTTCCTTCAAATACAAACAGTGCTCCTCTTAAGCATTCTCTTCAGCTTGAAAACATAGGAAGCCATAAACTTTTCTCTTTGGTAACAGATCATTTATTACAGATGCTTGAACTCGAGCAGTATTTCCAAGATTTTCTTATCAAAGCTGTCTTTATTTGTACATATAATATATGGATATGGAATTGTCCTGTTTCTTCCGACGTCTCGCCTGTCCCTTCTTCATCGTGCCCATTAAACTGTCTCTCTTCCCACCTCCTGTGCCTGCTCACTCTAGATTACGTGGCACGTGTCATAGCTGTCTGTCTCGTCCTCTCTAAATGTGCTGTCCTTGTCTCACTGCTCCACCTCTCATGCTGGTCGGCCTTGGCTGCCCTCACCGTCGATCTCTGCTCTCTGGGATGCCAGCATTCACCCTCTGCAAAGCTCTCACAGTTTAACAATGCCACCCACCTCTTCACATCACTTCCTGAACTTCTTTCTCTTGATACTTCTAGATTTCTCCTGACACACATTTCTCAGAGTCCTGTTTTTTATTTCTGAGTGTCAACACCCTACTCCCACACCCTCTTGATGTAAATCCCTCTTCCTTCCACATCCCTCCTCCAGTTCCAGAGAGTGATAGGCTCTTCCTCTGCCCCCCAACCTCCTTCCTGCTCCTGCTCCTGCTCCAGGACCATCTCTGCAGGCTCACTCCCTGTCTCTAGTACGTCCCCTCTTCACTGCTCCTTGACCTTCACCAAGTTCAGGATGATTCCTCAGTCCCATGTTTCCTCCAGCTGTTTTCTGACTACTTCTTTCCCCCCTCTTAACCAATCATTTATTTCACAGTTTTGACATTCACTTAAGTGTCTGAGACTTTCCTAAAGATAAGCGACATGTGAAGGACAAGAAGAGAGCCTTCCTTCCTGAAGAAGGGCTTGGGGACTCAAGATGTATATCAGTCTACTACTACAGGGCAGTCTCTTCTAGGATCTTCCAGCCTGCTCACTTTCCACAGCCAAATCCTTTCTTTTCACAGCCATGGAACCCCATGGTTGTTTGTCCTGCCAAAACAACAATAAAAAAAGGCTTCCTGGACTCAGGCCATCCAGGACTTGGATGAATAAAGTAGTTCCAACCTGGATCTTGCCTCTTATTTTTGATGTGGAATTAACCAAATCACTCAGTGTCACAAATAAACTCCTTCAAATACATTCCTTCATCTGTAGAAGAGAGATAGCTATTAACAGCCTTGCCTTATCTGAGGATACAAAATACAATTCCACAAAACACTGCTGACTCCCATTATTGATAGAATGTAAGGACAGTCATCTACCTATGTCTGGGACTCTGAGTAATCAGGTCCATCCTGGCAAAGTCTGTGCTGCTGGTTGTCAGACTTGCAGTGAGCCACTCAGCAACTTCTGGTTCCCCGAGATGCATGGTTGCTACTCATCTGTGTGCTTGTCTGGTGTCTTTTTAGTTAGTCTACATCTTAAAAGTTAGAATTTCTATACAATCTGCAGGTTCAGTTCAAAAGTCTTTCCCTGAGGCCAGCCTGGTCTATATAGTACGTTCCAGGCCAGCTGGGTCTATATGGAGACCCTGCTTCAAAAAACCAAAAGTGACAAGTCTTTGCCCTCATAGTATCTACTCCTAGTCATAAATGACTCAACATACTTACAGTACTTTGTATGCAACACTTTAACATAGATTTCCCTCATTCTAGAGATGAGTTCTATGGATAAGATTAATTTACAGGGGAGCTGTCTGTGTTTTTCAGAACCTGACTACAGATGACAGGCTAGGGCTGTGCCCAGGCAGACTGTCCCAGACTCAGTACTTCTACCTCCATCTGCTTTATATTAACAGAATCTGTCCCTGCTGCACCTCGGGTCTTATCTGTTCCTCTTAAGGTTGTTAAGTCACTAGATAATGAAGGATAAATTTTATCAGTGAGGTTGTTTTGTTTTGTTTTAAAGAAAGTACTTAAATATTTTCAGTTTGGCCAATAATTGGGGAAATCATTAAAAGCAGAGAAAGCAGAATGTGAAACCCGCCAAGAGAACACGCACAAGGTCATTGTTTAAGCAATTTAAGCTCATCCAGAGACTCAAGAGCAGAAGCATTCATTCTGCTGTGTCGAAGTTTATAGAAAATGACATACTTTATGTAGCTCCAACTTCTCTACTTAAAAAAAATCTTACAGATCTGAGAAATGTCTCCAATTTTCTGAGCGTTCAGGCACTACTACTGATTCTTAGTTACTATAATACAGAAAAACTGGGAAGCATAAGCACATAGCTTCTCTACCTTTTTGGAAAATTAGATAAGTAAGCCCTTCACAGCTGAATGAAACAAAGATCACAAAGCAAGGTGTGCTCCTGGCCTGCCGTGTGCATGCTCCTGGCTTACAGAGTCTGCTTGTCTATCCTGTTAGCCAGCTCTGTTCAGTGGCAGTATTTCATCTCCACCTGCTCCCACCTGGGCTAGTGTAGCAAAACCAGCAGCCCTCGGAGCCTTGCTGGAGCTCCCTCCCCGTGAGCACTGCCTCCTCCTTTGGACCATAGCAGTTACTTTGGTCTATCTTTCTATTACTGTGTCCAAGCCACAAGAAATCCACAATTTCAGAATTCAGACACAAAAGGCCCCAGCTGCCAGCTGGCCACGACAGTTTTGACAGCTGAAGAAAGGAGCTTTCCTGACCCCTCCACCAGACCTCCTCAGGACATCTTCCCTGCTTGAAGCCCTAGCTTCCCCAAATTTCAAATGTGCAGCGCCCTCACGTCTGTGGGACCTTCTGACCTCACTCGTGTTTTCATTTGTCTCGCATGTGGGGAGTAGACATTGACGAATGCAGGATCTCTCCTGACCTCTGCGGCAGTGGGATCTGTGTCAACACACCAGGCAGCTTTGAATGCGAGTGCTTCGAGGGCTATGAGAGCGGCTTCATGATGATGAAGAACTGCATGGGTAAGCGAGGCCCGGCCTTCCCAGCTGGCCTGGAAACAGGCCTAGTATGGGCTCATCTGCATCTTCTTCAGGTTTCCGAGCAGCAGGCAGCATACTTGGTGGCAGATGTGCAGAGCGAGACGACCTTTAAAGGTCAGATAGGAAACTCCTTCTTACAGAGCCTTAAGGGCACGGAGATACTGGGACTGGATTCTGTTCACTCATAAAGGCAACACACAGAATACTCGGGGAGGGGGGGTATTAAAATGGATAATACAGTGTGGCAACCCCAAAACATGTGCTCCATCATGCTGATCCCATGCTATGTCCCATATTTGTGTGATGTTAAAAGCTTTTCAGATCCCTGTTTTGTATTAGGTGACTTAGAGAACTTACCTCATAAGGTGTAGTTGCTCCCGGGGTGGGGGTCCAGCCATTTGACATGGCAAGGAAATGATGTCATCAACAGTGTGCTGAGCTGCATTCATAGCTATCCTGGGACACATGCCCACAGGCCACAGGCTGGACATACCTGACCATAGTCATTTATGAGTCTAAATCATCAACAGTGTGCTGAGCTGCATTCATAGCTATCCTGGGACACATGCAGCCCACAGGCCACAGGCTGGACATACCTGACCATAGTCATTTATGAGTCTAAGATTTTCTTTCAGCTTCATTCGAGATACAAATATGAGAGCAACTGGCAGCAATATGAGTCTATGGTGATAGAAAGCAAATATTGTACATGTTACCTCATTATTTCATATGTGAAAATTTCTCAATAATTTACTGTATTTAGAATAGAAGTTTTTTATGATCTTCATACTGAGGCAGAAAGGGGAGCTTGCCCCACCCCTGTTGAAGTGTTTCTCTCACATTTGAGTCACATGCCTACCTCCTAACATTCCTTCTGCCATGCTAGATGTGTGAATATTTTTTCCTCAGAGTTCCTTAATAGATCTCACGTTTTTACCTTTCAGACATTGACGAATGTGAACGTAACCCTCTCCTTTGTAGGGGTGGCACCTGTGTGAACACTGAGGGCAGCTTTCAGTGTGACTGCCCACTGGGACACGAGCTGTCACCATCCCGTGAGGACTGTGTGGGTGAGTTTTTCCTCTCAGCACAAAAATCCAGTGGGCGCACTAAGATCAGGGCTCAGTTCTAACAAACGGGTGGTGCTCATCACAACCTTTCCAGATGCCTACACCCAGTCCAGGCTGTCTTCATATGATACTTAGGTGATGGATTGCTGGGTACACTGGGCTGTTTCCTGTGTGCAGGTCATGTGCTTCCATGGTCCAGGCAGGGTGCTGGGTAAGCTGTCTAGGATCATTCTAGATTGTTGGTCTGTGCTCACACCTGTGCCCTGCTCATCTTCTGCCTAATGTAGAGAGTCAGAGTTCATGCTGTACCCCAAGTTTACTCACCCTGACCATAGGGTCATCCCCATATATGACTGAAAGACAAGTAGATTGCTATGCTGTTACATGAGGTGAACCTTAAATAGTAAAATAAACAGACATTTTCGTAAGGATAAATTTAAAAGTTTTAAATGTTTTTATTCTGCTAGTAGTGCAAAGATAATTAAAGAACACTCATGTCTGAACACACTGTGATGCAGTGATGCAGTGATTCAGAAATCTAAGTCTAGTTTATTTTGCTGTTTAAAGTTCATCAGTCTTACAACTGAAAAAGCCCCCCCCCTCAAAGTGCAATATTTTCCTGGTGTTCTCTTGCAGTTTGCTAATTTATTCCATGTATCTGTCCATGAGGTTTTTAAGGCACATGACTACTTTGTAAGGGCTACTTTGTTTTAAAATTGGAGTTCTGATTTGTAGATCAGGCACCTAAACAGATTGATAAAACAGACAAGTGAGAGCCTCACTGTCGTACCTCTGTGCTCTGGAACCAGCATGTAGGCAACAGTTGAAGACCAGGTGGGCATGCCAGTATAAATTAATAAATACTGAAAAGCTACATTTCTGGCATATACTATTACTGGGCTTTCTGTAGTGGTAATCACTAGCCACGTGTGGCTACGAAATTTCAATTAAAATGAACATTAAGATTGTTAAGGTACACTATATACATTTCAAAGGCTGAGTAGTACCTACACCTCCATATTGGACAATATAAATAGGGAACAGTTCCAACACTACAGAAAGTTCTACTATTGTTGTCAGAAATAATGGAAACAAACAGAGATCCCAGCATTTTCTCAAAGCATCCCAGATTATCCCGCTTCCCACCAGGGTCACTCCCCTTTGGTGACCACTGGTCCAGTGAAACCTGTTATTGATGAGTTTTGTGATTTTGATCCTGCGTGAAGCATTGATTCTGTTTATCTTTTATAGATATTAATGAGTGCTCCTTGAGTGACAATCTCTGCAGAAATGGGAAGTGTGTGAACATGATTGGAACTTACCAGTGCTCTTGTAATCCTGGATACCAGGCCACACCAGACCGCCAGGGCTGTACAGGTGAGGGGAAGCCAAGCAGATCTGCATCTCAATGTAGCCCTCAGATCAAGGAAAACTTTGGCAATGAATATGCCCTGAAGCCTATGGGAGTCCTTTGCAATAATAATGAATGTCAGCTGGGGCAGATGGTATGTTGGTTTTTCAGAAGACTCACTGGGATTATCATAGAAGATACTCCAAATTCCATAGTTATTATGTTTCTGAGTTCTTTACTCTCAGCTAGTAGAATTAAGTATGGTACTATATAAAAAGAACTAATCAAGACTCATGTTGTAGTGTTAAATCAAAGCCAGTTAAGAATTATCTTTTTAAAAAGAAGAGACACTATGCATTTTTATTTATGCATGTAGACTTGGCAGTTAACATGGATGCAATGTTTGCACAGATATCGATGAATGCATGATAATGAACGGAGGCTGTGACACCCAGTGCACCAATTCAGAAGGCAGCTATGAATGCAGCTGTAGTGAAGGGTATGCCCTGATGCCCGATGGGAGATCATGCGCAGGTACAGAAAAGGAAGTGCACATACCTATAGTTAACTTTATCTTATAAATAAAGTATGATTCCAAATTTTGTTGAGTAGAGCTGAATGGAGAGAAAAATTATTTGAAACTGACAGAAGGCATTCTTGCTTTGACTGGATGTCAACTTTGTATCCTCAGATATTGATGAATGTGAAAACAATCCTGATATCTGTGACGGTGGTCAGTGTACCAACATCCCCGGAGAGTACCGCTGCCTGTGTTATGATGGCTTCATGGCTTCAATGGACATGAAAACGTGCATCGGTGGGTATCAGAAGCAAATGAGAGGGTATAAGAAAAGTTTATTTGTGAGAATTTCATACAGGTATACAATGAAATATGATTATATCTATCCCCCATTTCCCCCTCAAACTCTCTCAAAGTCCCCAACTTCGAGTCTTTTGTTTTTTGATAACCTACTAAGTCCTACAGTTAGTGCTGTCTGTATGTGCCAAGGGTACAGGACCATCCCCTAGAACACGGGGATCCTACCAATGGTTACTCAGGGCTCTTGAGTAGTCCCTGGTTCAATTCCCAACACCTACATGGTGGTTAACAACTTCCCATAATTCCAGTTCTAGGGGCTCCAACACCCTCTTCTGACCTCTGTGGGCATCACGTGACATGGGTACACTTATACACATGCAAGCAATACGCTCATACACATGTAATTTTTTTAACAATAATAAAAAAGAATGATTCTCCTTCCCCCAGCAACTTTCAGCTGCCAGTAGACCCTCAGTAAAGGAAAGGGCCTGGAGATCAGCTCTAAACTGGAATTTTGGCCACCTTGAGCTTTACAGGTCTTGTGCAAAAGATTGTAGCTGCTGTGAGCTCATGGATGTGATGGCCACATCATGTCCAGAAGACAGCATTTCACAGTGCTCCTTCCCTGAAAATGGTAGTTTGATGCACACATAAACGTTCATAAGCATGAAAAAATTCATAAACATGAAAAACATTCATAAACATGAAAGTTTAGGATGTCGTCACTTTGAAAATTCGAGCTATCTTGCTAGAACTATAAAATCTATAAAGGAAGAATTAATATTTAAAACTCCTTGAAGGTACGTAGGCATTATTCTGCCATACTGGTCTTTTGAATGGACTGTATTTTAAATTTTATCTGTGTGTTTTAGTACTGTGCTATGCAGTTTAAAATGTAGCTTTTAAATTACTGTGATGAACAAATACTAACCAGAATCGTGAAAATTAATTTCCTAGATGTGAATGAGTGTGACCTGAATTCCAACATCTGCATGTTTGGGGAGTGTGAGAACACAAAAGGCTCTTTCATTTGCCACTGCCAGCTGGGCTACTCAGTGAAGAAAGGGACCACGGGATGCACAGGTGGGTGTATGTACAGGTGGGTTTCAACCTTGTGTCCTCTAGCCTTCAAAGGCTAACATTACTTCAGCATTTAACATCCTTATTCCCACACATCCTTAGGACCAGTTTCCTTCAACCAAGATATGACAGCAGGTGTGATGAGGAACTGACTGGTAGCATGTAGAATGTATTGTCCCGAGGCACACACAGCCAGCGCCACCCAGTAGGAAGGAAGGCATGAGCTTGCGTATCTTGACTGCTGCCCAAATGGAGATCACACTTAAAGGAATGCAAAAGGCTTGAAGGATCCCAGTTTTCACTTGGCTTACATGCTAAACTACTAGAAGTGTAATGCTAAACTTCTTGTTTTCTTTCTTACTCTGATTTTTTTTTACATTTACTCGAATCTCTCCCCAGTCCCACCTCTCTTTTTCCTCTCTTCACTGTTTTTGTTCACCTCAAGTACTTTATCTCCTGATCCCCTTTTTTTGATTTAACGTCCTTTGCTTTTTTTAAATTATTTATTTAATAACCACATACTTAGAAGAAGCATTTCATTACAACAGCATTGACATATTCAATAACAATTTTCTGAGCTAAGATGCATCTCTTTATTAGAAGAAGCATTTCATTACAACAGCATTAACCTATTCAATAACATTTTTCTGAGCTAGGGTACATCTCTTTCAAAATTGGCTGTATATTTTTAGGTTTACAGATGAATTATTATGCTTGTACAATCTTTTACTTATTATAAACTCTATAAGACATAAAATTAAATGAGTTTTTAACCTTTATAAAAGATCTCCATTTCATTATTAAAACACACAGTTTCATACAGAAAAATTCATTTTTAATGCAATTGACATTAAGATGTTTGCCCTTTTTTACTAATTAGTTTCATTGCTTTGCATACAGGAGGGACTGGAAAGTGTCAGGGTCGAGATTTTGGTCAGTTGTGTCTTGAATGCTCACTTTAAGATCCCTGCCCGACACTTTGTTAAAGGCTCAAGGGCTTGGGCTACAGTGAGCCCTTAAGCAGGAAAGAGTCAATAGTGAGAACAGGTCTGCTGTGTGATCCCACTAGCAAAGACATGGCAGGAAGCCAAGGGTGTGTGTGCGGCAGAGGCAGAATGTACTCAGAGAACTGATAGAGCAGACTCTTCATCTAGAAAGTCTTGGAGAACCAAATCTGCAGTTTACACACACATGTATGTGTATCCATGCAGTTATATGTTGCTTTACAATGAGGATACAGTATATGAAATGTGTCAATTGGCCATTCCATCATCAGGTGGAAAAAAAAGTAGAATTACACAAACATAGGGAACCACTGCTATATGCGTGAATTGCCATTGTCTAGAACATCATTATGTGGCATATTATTGTATATCTGTATAGATTACATATATGTGCATATATGTAATTTATACATAGCACATAAACACACACTGGTAAACATTCATCCCTTTCCAGCTAACATTTGTAGGAAACATTTTCAATATTCTCAGATAAACTTAAAAACCAAAAATACACACCTGAATGATAACCTACAAAAACGTGGTGCTTACACAAGCTAAGCAAGCATTTTACCGCTGAATAACATTATTGTATTGACTTTTAATATGAAGGAGTAGTTTTTTTTTTTAAGTCAGGCTTGTTCTTATCCTCATGAAAAATATGTAATAATATTAATAGGATGAAATAGCACATTCTTTCTGAAAATAAGATTTCTCTTGAGATGTATGGTTTTGTGTCCTTCCCATGGAGTTTGGTCTGGGCCTTTGCAGCATGTGGGGGCTACTTAGCCAATCACACACACACACACACACACACAAGCACGCACGCACGCATGCACACGCACACACGCACACACGGGACAGCAACTGCACATTTTCATTGCAGCAGGAAGTGGCTAGCAAGTTCTAGAGAAGGGCTTATTTAGTCATAATCATGAACTTTATTTACATGTAACTAGAATAGAAAAGAATTAAAATCAAAAAAGGGTTTCACATCACACACCACACAATCACACACACACACACACACACACACACACGCACGCACGCAAGCACGCACGCACGCATGCACGCATGCACACGCACACATGCACACACGGGACAGCAACTGCACATTTTCATTGCAGCAGGAAGTGGCTAGCAAGTTCTAGAGAAGGGCTTATTTAGTCATAATCATGAACTTTATTTACATGTAACTAGAATAGAAAAGAATTAAAATCAAAAAAGGGTTTCGCTTTACCTTCTTAACTCTGGTTTCTCAGATGTGGACGAGTGTGAAATTGGTGCCCACAACTGTGACATGCACGCCTCGTGTCTGAACGTCCCTGGAAGCTTCAAATGCAGTTGCAGAGAAGGTTGGGTGGGAAATGGCATCAAATGTATTGGTGAGTTTGTAAACACTTTGCTGAGGGCCAGCATTTTTTAAAATTTAGTTTATGTCTATGAGTGTTTTGCCTGCATGTAATCAAGTGCATCCATGTCTTGCAGTGCCCATAGAGGCCAGAAGAGGGCGTCATATGCCCCTGGAACTGGAGTTACGATGGTTATTAGCCGCCATGTGGATGCTGGGAACCAAACCTGGGTCCTCTGGAAGAGCAGCCAGTGCTCTTAACTGATGAGCCATCTCTCCAGCCCAAAGGGCAGGCATTCTTAATGGCTCTTTGCACACTTGGAACCCACATACCTGAGCAGGAACATGCTCTTCGCTCTCTATTTATTGTCTTGTAAATCAAAGGCTGCCTTTCCTTGTGGGGATAATTCCTGCCTAAGAGATTTCCTTCAGCCTTAATATAAATGGTCAGATTACAACAGAACACTTTGGCATCTGCCTTTCCATGCATGTTGTTCAGTAAAAGTCATTTGATGTGCAGCCAGTGATCTGAATAGCTGTAAGATGAAAAATGACTAATGTGTTTTTCCAGTCTTTTCATAGACTAATCAGTGAGATTTGAAACCCAGTGAAATAAATGGAGGAAACAGAAAGGGTTTTTCCCATGGCCTTAAACTGGTAATGAGTGGTCAATTCTTAGTAGATAGAATTTTTCTTACAGGCAAATTTAAGTATTTCGTTGGATTCCAAGAGGTTGAAAAAAGGAGACTAAAGGAGGCTTTTCCCCCATGTTCTATAGCTCTTGAGCTGAAGCCTAATAATATTTTATAGCAGTAAAGCAAGGGACTGAATTATACCCTGGGTGTCATTCACAAAGCTGTTTAATATGCTCAGCATTTTACATGCCATAGCAATAAGGAATATGTCCAGCTGGTAAGAATTATCCAAGCCTGTTTTAAATAGCAAGAAAGCAGTCTGAACTGACCTCCCCATGATTGTTTCTCAGTAAAAGCTTATAGGCCCACAGTAAGGATTAAAGAAAAACCTTAATATGTCTTACCAGTGTTATAAGTTACTTCGAGGACAGCTGGCCTATCCAGCCAAATGTTTCATTCTTGTCAAATGTTTACAAGCCAACTATAGAGTATGAATTATCAAAGTTTCCAAGTGACTTTGCTATGAAACAGCCTGTGTTAACTTACTCCAGTCTTCCAGTCTAGCCAGGTCGCTAGCATTGATCTCCGGACTTTCCAGGCATAGCCTTTCCATTTTTCTTGTCCTTTGTGCCTACTGTCTTTCTATCTTTTTGTTTTCATTTTATGTGCTTGTCTATCTGTCTGTCTGGCCAACTGTCACCAGACTGTCTGCCCCAAGACAAGATTTCTGCAGGGTTCAGCAACCTGTTCTCCCAAACTCATCTATCAGTTTCAGCTTCATACTTGCTCTCTTTCTTTCTCTCTCCCTCCCCTTCTCTCTTCCTTTATCTCTCTTTCACTTTCTCTGTCTTTATCTGTCTCTTCCTTCCCTTCCTCCCTCTATTCCTCCTTCTCTCTCCCTGGATATTCAACTCTCTGATCTTCCTGCAATTTAATCTTCAGATAGCAGTAGCAGGACACTTAAGCCTCATTTCACAATTGACATTTAACTTACTGAATTCAGGAGAAAGCTGGGCTCCCTTTCTCTGGCTTCCAAGGCCCTAGAGCATTCTCTAGGTCTAGCTTCCACTGACCTGCATCCTGTGCTGTGCTTTCCACTCTAACCCCCTTTGACGTCATACCCTGTACTTTGCCTCTTCAATGTCTCTGTATGTGTTTTCTGCAAGAAATACCCTTGCCTACTTCTACTGTGGAGCTTGCTCTTTCTCATTCTTGGGAGAGGGTTCTGCAGTTGATTAAAAATGACTTCCTCAGTGGGGCTTCCCTGTACCTGCTGTCCAGATTTGATGCCCCTTGTAGTGACTTGCTGTGCCTGTAAACTTCTTTATGGTACAGAGAAAGATACTTAACTTTTTCCTGTGATTAACATCCATATTTTCCACTAGACTGTGAATTCCATGATATTTCTTTTCCCTTAATAAAATAAATTAAAAACTCTATGCTAATTCTGCAATGAAGGTCAGTAGTATCTTCCTTTTTTTTTTTTTTTTTTTTTTTTTTTTTTTTTTTTTTTTGTTTTTAAAAGTTGCACATATGTAAACATTGAAATCTAACACCAGTTTTCTTTTGACTGCTATGAATATTTCATCATGCAATGCTTGAATTTGTAGTTGGCGGGGGCACCATTTTTTTTGGTCTTTTTTGAGACAGGGTTTCCCTGTAGCCCCAGCTGGCCTGAAACTCCCTGTGTAGACCAGGCTGACCTTGAACTCACAGAGCTCCGCTTGCTTCTGCCTCCGAGTGCTGGGACTAAAGGAGGGCACCATCACACCCAACTCTTGGGGCAATGATTTTGGCATGAACATGACTGATTATGGATCCCCGAGATCTTGAGGAATTAGCATTGTCGTCACAGATAAACTAAAACACAGTCCACTGGGGCCAGTTCATAATTAGTCTTCATTTCTGTTCTTTTTTGCTGCATTCTCTCCTGCCATACAGATTTGGATGAATGCTCTAACGGAACCCACCAGTGTAGCATAAATGCTCAGTGTGTCAATACCCCAGGCTCATATCGATGTGACTGCTCAGAAGGTTTCACAGGAGATGGCTTTGCTTGCTCAGGTGAGTGACAGACCTAAGGTGTGCTCAGATGTGGCTGTCATGGAACACTGTGTATGTTTTCCTTCTTTTGAGAAAACTCAAAAAGACTAAAGTAACAGCCTCTGCATTTACATTTGACCTAGGTATGAACATGCATCATGCTCATTCATTAAGCACAGAGGCCTAACGAATCTTCCAGAATATTGATGGCAGTTTTTAAAGTAACGATATTTATCACTATCATGTACTGATAATGGCTACTGTTATCTCTTACTAATCTAAAAGTAATGGTCAGAAAATGAAGGCTTTGTCTGGGTAAGACCACCTGGATTCACATGTTATGTGTGTTCTTACTGCTAGTGTAAACCTAAGTAAACAACTGGCATGTCTGACCTCAGGTTTCTCTTTTTAAAGTAGGCATATTAATCATAATACCATTTTTAATTACTAAGTGGGTGATATGGGAAAACTATTCAGTTCTTGAAGATAGGGTATACAGTCTATACAATCGCAGCTGCTTACTGTGAAAAAGACTTAGGAAACCACTTCTTAAGAGCTCAGTCATTATCAGTAGCTATTTCACTTTTACTCCTTCTACATTCCTTAAGGATAAAACATCATTTCATTATACATATATTTAAGATTAGGTCATCTTATGGGCCATACCCATTAGACAGTTTTCACTTTAAAAGGTACCTACTAGGTACACTGTGACCCAGGCAGCTCCTTTGGCTGCTAGAATCCTGGAGGTCTTCCCGAGGCCTAGTGAACTCAGTGAAAAGCACGTGGCACGCAACTGGCATACAGCCTGGTACAGTTAATGTTGATTTTTGCCCTTTAACCCTTTTCTGCTTCATAGAATTAAATCATCTTGAAGGTCCGTGAGAAATATCTGTCTGCATAGTTTTGATATGATTATAGTGATACAAAAGAAGTTTTCTCCCTTCCCACAGTGTCTCTAATTTTCACTAAAGTGCTCCAGCTAGGAAAACAGTAAGTGGTTTATTGTATTGCTGTTTTCAAATGCATAAACATCATTTTCAGATTTTCTAGTGTTCTCAGTCATATCTTCTGATATAGTTGTAGTATTGATTCATCAAACTGTGATTGAATAGAACTGAGAGACCCCTCTACAGTCACGTTACAGCTGAATGTTGGGGTGCAGGTTCCAGAGCTCTGCTATCAGACATCACTCCCTTGCTCAGGTGTATTGATTGTTGCTTCATATTAATGAACACTGATTCAAGTCACTGAAATCTTTCATTTTAGAGCAAGGAAAAACATGTCTCATGATCTTTGGAACTTAATGGAGGTGCCTGTCACTTCTTCTACAGATGTTGATGAGTGCGCAGAAAACATAAACCTCTGTGAGAACGGCCAGTGCCTCAACATCCCTGGCGCATACCGCTGCGAGTGTGAGATGGGGTTCACTCCAGCCTCAGACAGCCGGTCCTGCCAAGGTGGGTCGCCAGGATTCCGGCTTGTTTTCAAGTTGGATCAACTACAACAGATGAAGCCACAGGAAGCATTGTCCAGGCTCCTCCTGGAAGCAGACTACACAGCACATGCTGCACATAGAAAGTCATTTGTTTAAGCATGGATTATTTTGCAGAATGAATAATGCTGAGGCACTGTTTTTCTGGATAAGATCCAGTAGCTGGACATTTGGCTCGTTCTTTTCTGGGAAACCACTCCTTTTTTCTTTTATTCCTTTCTTTCCTTTTTATCACTGAGTGAGTGACATGTGCTATGCCTGCTCAGTTTTTAACTGCTAATCTACTACCTACTTTAGTCATCTGTGTTTATTATGTTCAACAAAGTCTAAGTAGCTCATTTTGGCCTGTCCCTTCATGTCGGAGTCTGTCATGTGTATGTCAGAGCCTGGAAGACTTTGCAGTTCATCAAGTACTTCACCTCTGCTTAAGAGTCACATGTCTTAAGTCACAACTTCATCTTTCTGTCCTAAAAATGGAGCTTTGTGTCTAATATGCCATCTGTCCAAAAAAAACAGAATTTAGACTTCCTTTCAAATTAAGGGATTCGATTCACATTACATGCTGTTGAGTCATCAACATGTTATGGGGAATATAGCATGAATGAAGGATGGAAAGAGACTGAAAAGAATTCAGTTCTTTTGAGGCCATAGAGCCTCAACAAGATTTGCAATTCATAGAAATCCTAGGAAAAGAAAAAGATGACTATTCCTCCTCCCCCACTTCCCCCTCCTCCTCTTCCCTCTCTTCCTCCCCCTCCTTTCCCCCTCCTCCTCTTCCCTCTCTTCCTCCTCCCCCCTCCTTTCCTCCTCCTCCTCTTCTCCCTGCTCAGACTAACTACTGGACAAAGATGATAAAAATGAAAATAGATTTCAGTCTCTCCCTCACCATAGTACTTTATCACATGAACAGAAATGTCAAATACCAGTGCACAAACACACACATCATCAATATCTACCAAACACAAGCTGTACAATGTGAGGCGGCCCAAATCAAAACCTAGCTCTGTGCCACCATCAGAAATGGCACATAAGAAAGTGCCTGAAAACTCATGATGCTTCACGAATTTTGAGCAGTGTGGACGTGCGCCCAGACAAGATGGTAGAGTAGGCCTCGGGGGAAATGACATTTTCTGATTTGTTAGCAGTACTTTCTGTACCGTTTGAATTTGTGAATGCCAATTTTATAATGACAAACAGTAGTTTTTGAATTACTTTATCTTTGGAATCAAATTACTGTAAATGAGATATTTCATAAAGATCACTTAAGGGTTAAAATGTGTGCTCAGAGAGATGATGCAATACCATTTTCATTTATAGTTTCATTTAACTATCATCTAGCTGAATCAGTCTCCACTCGTTCTCTTTAGAGAATAACTATATTGTCTCCAACAAAGAAAAGGACACCTTTGAAGATTAGTTGAGCATTTAATCACAATTTGAACAATACCTTAAATATAAGATAGTGGAAACAAATTATTTTAACTATTATGAGTGACCAGAAGACCAGTTAAGCAATAACTGTTTCAAGACAGCAGTTTAAAATGCCTTGTCTATGGAGCCCACAAAATGGATCAGCAAAAATGGTGACATGAGGTCAAAGCCTGGGACCTACATGGTGGAAGGAGAGAACCTACTTCCACAAGTTGCCCTCAGACCTCCACATACATGCCATGGCATGCGCACACCCACCCACACACAAACACAATAAATAGACATAGTTTTTAAAAAAATCACTTATATTTATAATAATTTATTTTTTGAGAATTTCATAATGACTTTTATATGCGTTATTTCTATCTCTTCCAGCACCCCTCCAACTCTTCCCATGTCCCCCACTCCCTCACAATTTCTTTTTACCTTCTTTATTACAATAGATACATACATAAATTTACAAATATGCATACATACTTGTATATAGTGCAGTGAGTTCATTTGGTGGTGCCCCTGTACACCTGTGTTTGGGGCTTCTCACTTGGGATTAGGTAGCCTCTCAGGGAGCTGGTCCCTGTAGAAATCTGCTTCCTCCTCCCTCAACATCCATTGACTGCCTATAGCTCTTCTTCTTGAGAGGGATCCAGTGAAATTTTCCCCATCCACACTGCTTTTGTCACTGCAGATCTTGTTAGACTGCCATGCTGTGGAAATTTCATTGGTGCAGTTTTTCTATCATGTTTGGAATGCATTAACCAGCAGTAGGTGTCTTGTCCCTCTGGCTCTTACAGTCTTTCCATCCCCTCTTCCACAGTGTTCCCTGAGCCTTAGTGTAGAGGCTGCATTATAGATCTATAACTTAGGACTAGGAACCTCACTTATTCTGGTATTTTGACCAGTTGTGGAACTTTGTAATAGTCTCTGTTCATTGCAAAAAGAAGCTTCTTTGATAAATGATGAGAGCTATACTTGTCTGTGTATGAAAGGATACATATTTAGAATATAGTAAGAAATTATATTGGTTTATGAGAAGTGGCAGTAGTGGGTTCTTTTCTAAGGGCTGTGACCTCTCCAACCATGTATTTTTGGCTCTTTTAAACTTTTTTTTATTAAATTTTTAAAATTTCATTCAACATTTCCCATTCAAATCCAGAACCCCTCCCCTAGCCATGCCTCCCCCATCTTCCCACCAAACCTTATGCACTCTGCTATACATGCTGAGTCCTATTTATTCAGGGTTTTTACCCAAATGCCCTTCAGTGTGAATGCGTCCACTGGCATCTAGTCAGCCCATCCAGTGGTCGTGTGTAAGTCATACTCTCCCTCACCCAGCAGCAATCAGTCTCAAATAGTTCTCAATCTAGTGTTGGCCCATCACCTATTTCTCACCTCCCTTTGGGCCCTTGTTTAATTGAGCTGACATGGGACTGGTGCTAGAGGCCACCACTGCAACAAGTTCACATGAGCAAACATTACCATGCATGGATTCTCTCCCACTGAATGGGCCTTAAGTCCAATTACATAACTACTGATTACCACTAAGACAAAAGTACCACTATTGCACAAATAGAGATCATTTATTTTCTGGGCCGGTCATTGTTGTGGTTCATAGGTTTTTACAACTAGATAGGATCATTGATTGGTTTTCTCCTTCAGCAGCTTCCATAGTATCCTCTAGAACTGAGTGCTAGTCTTCAGGGAGGAGGCTTCCAGGTCAGTTCCAGCTTCATTGCTCCAAGTCCTGTGTCTCAACTGGCTTGTTTTCAGCAATAAGATCTTACCTTCAAGTTCTGGGAGGCAATCAAGCCTGTGGCTATAACCTAAATTTTATTTATTTATTTATTTATTTATTTATTTATTTATTTATTTATTTCACTATGTAGAACTCACAGAGATCTGCCTGCCTCTGCCTCCCAAGGGCTGGGATTAAGGGCGTGTGCCACCATGCCCAGCTTATAACCTAAATTTTTAGGGGAGTCTCTTGGACTACCTTGACCAACAACTCAAAAAGAAGTTTCCCTTGCTTGGCACTGTGATTTTGGTAACATAGCCTTCAGCTCTCTATTTTGCACCTCTATTTATATTATAGATGTGTTTTTCAGTAGGTCTATATTTAAAGAGGAAACATCTGTCTAGTCTAAAATGACATTTGTGGGTTTCATTCTCAGAATACTGGTCAATTTATATATTAAGACAGATAATCCTCTTTTAAAAAATATTTATTTTTATTTTATGTGTAGGAATGTATTACCTGTGTGTATGTGTAAGTACACCCATGTCATCTAATACCCACCAAAGTTAGAAAGAGGGTATTGGATTCCCTGGAACAGGAGTTACAGACAGTTGTTAGCCAGCATGTGGGTGCTGGGAATCAAACCCAGGTCATCTGCAAGAGCAGTTAGTGCTCTTCTGAGCTATCTCTGCAGCCCCCCATATCCTCTTTTTATGATTAGAAATAAATTTAATTCTGCAGCTGTTTATAGACATTTGTGCCCCTATTTTCATGTGTTAGGAATAATAACTTAGGTTTATTGATCTTGAGTTACAGTTTCATGAAAATGTTTCATAAGCTGAATTCATTATTTTAGTAAAGATATATTAGTAAAATTCATAGTAATTTATGTAAAGCGAACCGTCATACTACATGATATAAATAACAGTATTCTCTATGTGTTTATAAACAGTTCTGTGGTCAATAGATCAGAATGTAAAAATACAGAAGTAAAAACTTAAGTGTTAAAGATTTTTTACTGCCCTTTAATATTTAATTTTATATAATTTTATATTTCAATTTAACAATTCTACAACATGCACTGTTTACACCAATTTGGTAGGATCTTTTTTTAATTTTTACATTTTCATTTGACATGTTCACATTTTGTTTTTGTGTTCTTTCTATATTCTTTAAGCCAATACTTCTTTATTTAAATATATTGTAATCAAAAGCAGTTACAGTATTAGATACTCAGGTCTGGGGGGTGTAGCTCAGTGGTAAAGAACTTGCGTAGCAAGCATGAGTCCTTAGGTTAGATACCCAACATGACACAAGAGAAAAAAAGTGTTAGATACTCACTTAACCAAGACAGTGTTTCCTTCATAGTTCATCTCATTAATAAATATGTGTTACTTGCCATTTATACTACTTATCTAGACAAATAAAAAGAAAAATATTTTGCTTATACACGTCTAAGAATTTTCATCATTACGTATTAAAATTTTTTAATGTCTTTGTAAACAAGAGATGATTTTATTTTTTACATCTTTAGATATTGATGAATGCTCCTTTCAAAATATTTGTGTCTTTGGAACATGTAATAATTTGCCTGGGATGTTTCACTGTATATGCGATGATGGTTATGAACTGGACAGAACAGGAGGAAACTGCACAGGTATGACCAACCAACAGCCCAACTCTCTTCTGATTGATTGATATAAATATTCTGTACTAAATACTAAAGTTCCTCAAATTCTGCCTGAGTACACGGGGCTGTACATTTTTCTAAGAAAGAAAATTACATTCTGATGCATTTATTGTTCATAATAGAATTTATCCATGTTTATATAAACAAACTAGTAAAGCATCCCTGCATCTGTGTATGTGCACATTTGTGGATATGTATATGTGTGTATGCACGCGCATATGTATGTATGTATGTATGTATGTATGTATATATATATATATATAATTTTCCTTAAAGCAGATAGTCTTATCATTTTTTCTTCCTCAAACTTAGAACATTTAATTATTGTTTGACTATTAAATGGCATTGTTAAAAATATTATCATTTTCTGTGAGTTCTAGGCCAGTCAGGGATGAGTAGTAAGACCCTATCACAAAAAATTATATATATATATAAATATATAATCATCTATAGATCCTGTTTGTAGGGTATATTAAGTCTTTATTCAATGTGTGAAGTCCTTTATAATGATATATACTAACTTGCATAAAATCTACTGAATTCTTGGAATGATAGATTATATAGGAAGTAAAGATGGTAACATGTATATTTTAAATGCTTATAGATATTGATGAATGTGCAGATCCCATTAACTGTGTCAATGGCCTATGTGTGAACACACCTGGTCGTTATGAATGTAACTGTCCACCTGATTTTCAACTGAACCCCACTGGTGTAGGTTGTGTTGGTAAGTAAAAGCTAAGTGAAATAAATAGAATTATAGAGTTGACTATTTATACTCTCTTAACAATGAGCTATAATATATAGTTGTTACAATTCATTTAAAAAGAATAATCCTTTTCAGAAACTATCTAGATGATTCCACATTTATAATGCATTCAGAAGACAATTTGGGGAATAAAACTAAAAAATAAGCAATAGATATTTGAATTATCTATAATTAAATTCTTACTGAAAGTACCAATAACCTTTTTCCTGTAGATTTTATCTTCTGTAAACTCTGTGTAAACTTATTTAAAGCACTAAAAAGGATCCACTGAATGCAAATGGTAAATGTTGATTTTTGAACCAGAAGTTTCTGTCCTGGTTTTTTTTTTCCCAACAATACTAACACACTGACTCATACACAGTATGTGTAAGATGTTTATTGCAGTATTCCTTGTGGTGATGCATACTTAAAAAACAATTTTGGAAGCTGAATATATATTTAAAAAAGAAGAAGAAGAAGAAGAAGAAGAAGAAGAAGAAGAAGAAGAAGAAGAAGAAGAAGAAGAAGAAGAAGAAGAAGAAGAAGAAGAAGAAGGAGAAGGAGAAGGAGGGGAAGGGGAAGGGGAAGGGGAAGGGGAAGGAGAAGGAGAAGGAGAAGGAGAAGAAGAAGGAGAAGGAGAAGGAGAAGGAGAAGAAGAAGAAAGCAATTGGAGCCAGATTTGGTGTCCCACCCTTGTAATGTGATCCTAACTTTCAGGAGGCTGAGGCAGGAACATTGTATGTTCGTGACCAGCCTAGGCTGCAGAGTTACAGTCTCAAAAGAAACATAAAACAAACCTATGTATTTTATTAGAGCATATGTAAAAATGACTAACGTGACATTTGGATGGCTGAGTAGAGAAAGAGAAATAGGAACGATGAGTAAAGATAAAAGAGAGAAGGGACAGGAAAGGACAAAAAAAGCATGAATGAATTCTGATTGAACAGGAGAGGAACCTCGAGTTAACTCAACTCTACAGCCAGGATTTAGTAACAAAAAGAAAATTAGTGAATTACCACAGTGAGAAGCAGCCAGATGATGCTATTGTCCAGACAGAGGTGAAAGCCACTTTGTGGACTCATAAGACTTTGGCATTTCCTCTGGTTGAGATGAGACGCTTTTAGACTGACCTGGCCTAAGGTGGTTCTTCTGAAGGATTGTTCTGGCTATCGAGAGGAAAACAGACTAGACTTGGGCCAAGGCTGGATGCTGAGAACTGAAATTTAGGCCATGTGGTGGAGGCACTGTGTGATTAGTCAGTTGCCAGGTGCATTTTGAAGGGGAAGTTGTCAAGCCTCATTAATACTGGTGTGGATAAGGAATAACAAAGATTTTAAAATGGCAGCATTGTTGGACAACTGGAAAAATGGCAACACTCCTTTATGAAAATGTGTACAATTGGAAGAGAAGTTGAACAGATTTTATATGTGGAAGAAAGGCATCAAATTTGTTAGGCATGTTGCCTTTGAAATAATTAGTAGAGAGTCAAGAAAATAAATTAGCAGAAAGAGTTCAGGGGAGAGGGAAAAGAGAAGGAGAAAGAGAGTACTAAATTTGAGAGCTCTCAGCAAAAAAAAAAACGAATAACTTTGGAAGCCGTGGATCCAGATGGATACTGTAAATAGACACATGATCCTTTAACTGCAGATATCTAAATTTTGAAAAACTTTTGAAAATCTGCAAATTTTGCTGTGCTGATTGAATAAAGCCATGGGGAAATGCAGGTGGAGGGAGGGGTTACTGACACATTACATAGCTAAAAGTTAAGTGATCCTTCGTATGTTTCCATTTCTTCACAAACTCGTGGTCCAGAATTGATTATGCCCAAATTTTATTAGATTCCTATTTGAAATGTGTAGAATGCCCCAAATAGAAAACTATCTTCTTTATTCCATGAGTGTGTGGAAATGTGATCTATATGGATTTCTAATCACTGAAGTCTTATTTCTTCTGTGTGACTCAATCTTGAAAGGTTTAAAATCATGTGATTGTTTTATGTTAAGAATTAGGACAAATCTTTCATATCAGTGTATAGAATCTTGAACTCCATTCTTTGAGTGTCTTCGCTGAGGAGTCCCGCCCAGAGCAAGGACGTTTTCAGCTCTCTTGTTGCTCTGCAGACAATCGTGTGGGCAACTGCTACTTGAAGTCTGGTCCTCGAGGAGACGGGGGTCTCTCCTGCAACACAGAGATCGGTGTGGGCGTCAGTCGCTCCTCCTGCTGCTGCTCCCTGGGAAAGGCTTGGGGAAACCCCTGCGAGACTTGCCCCCCTGTCAATAGCAGTAAGTATGGTTGCAGAAAGAGGAGGAAGGCAACACTCTGGGCTCTGGAAGCAAGTTGTCCTTGTACTCTGGGGCAGGCGAGGGAGTGCAGGGGAGCATGGCTTTAGACTGTGGTCAGTGATTATGCTGAAATCAGACATCAGTATTTTATTTTAATTTCTTTCTCCCTATTGTTTGTCATGATGTTTCTTTAAAAGACCATTTAACCACAATCCAATATGAATGGTCATAGTATCAATTCTCCATGGTATCGTGGGTAAAAGTTATTCCTGGTTCTTCTCTGAGGTTGTTAGTTCAGGTTCATAGTGGTCATAGTCCTGAAGTCATCTGTAGGATATCTTAAATTAAAACATGTGTGCTGACATGCACAGGAACACAAACCTTTGTACTGTAGCATCTTGGAGTTTTTATTTACTTGCCAAAAATGTTTGATATGAATTATCTGCAAAAGTTTTTCTTTAAAAACAAATGACTTTTGTTATTCCACTGCAAATCATTGATGAAGTAATGATGTTTGGGAGTAAAAAGCTATATACATTGTTACATTGTTATAAATGCATTTGAGGGCCAGGCGTGGTGGTGCATGCCTTTAATCCCAGCACTTGGGAGGCAGAGGCAGGCGGATCTCTGAGTTCAAGGCCAGCCTGGTGAGTTCCAGGACAACTGGGGCTATAGGGAGACCCTGTCTCAGAAAGACCAAAATAAATGAATGAATGAATGATGATAGATGATTGATTGATAGATAGATAGATAGATAGATAGATAGATAGATAGATAGATAGATAGATAGATAATGCATTTGAAAGGACACAGAAAAATATGGATGCCCCCTAGGAGATGTGATTTGACCTTGGCAGTTGTAGAATGCTAGTTCATTGTCTCAACCATGGGACACAGGTATCAGGCCTCTTGTTTTCCATTGTTTTGCAGCTGAATATTATACCCTGTGTCCTGGAGGTGAAGGCTTTAGACCAAACCCCATCACAATCATCTTGGAAGGTAACTCATTGCTAATTGTCATGTGTAATCAATAAAGAGCTGATTTTAAGGGAGGCAGAAACCCAAGTGGGTGTGGAGCCATGCCAGCAAGATTATTCAGTGAAATTGCAGTGGGCAGTCAGTCACACGGATGTTAAGGAACCAAGAAGTAACGATCCATCATTGCAGGTATCTGATATACAATCGTACAGAGAAACTCTTTTTTGGGTGGGTCTTTTTTGAGACAGGGTCTCCTTGTAGCTCCAGCTGCCTGAAACTCACGCTGTAGACCAAGCTGGCCTCAAACTCATAGAGGATCTGCCTGTCTCTGCCTCCCAAGTGCTGGGATTAAAGGCGTGCACCACCACGCCCAGCCAGAGAAACTCTTTAACCATTGTCCCTCAACAAATCATCCCCAGCTTGCTTTTGTCGGTCTTCTCAGGAAACAGCAGCCCCACAACAAAATAAGCCCAGCACCTAAGGGCATTCCCTTGGGTGCACATTTGTCTGGGGTCTATACAAGATGTCACATGTGACTCTTGCCTTTGGGGATGGTGTTTGTCTTAAGTGAATTGTCATGTCTTGCAGATATTGATGAATGTCAGGAGTTACCAGGGCTCTGCCAGGGTGGAAACTGCATCAACACGTTTGGGAGTTTCCAGTGTGAGTGCCCTCAGGGTTACTACCTCAGTGAGGAAACACGCATCTGTGAAGGTAAGAAGAGCTTCTGCTGCTCTCCCACAGAATTTCCTCTCAGCCCCAAATTCCCCAAGAGGGTCTAATGAGACTGTTGCTAGCTTTTTCCTTTTCATATTAATGTTATTTGTATAGTGATAAATTCAACTTAAATTCATTTGCCACAATTAAAATTTTTCTGAGTAAGATGATTGGTTAAATATAAATGGAAAATGGAATTATAATAGGAACTTAATTGTACGTGCAAATATAGGCAAGAGTTTTATCTGAGTAGGAAGATAGCTAAACTTAAATGTGACTGTAAGTTAATATTGGTCAATAATTTCTGAATGCTGGGCATGAAATGAAGAATTTGAAAGACTATAAGGATCTTTTCTGGTCATATGGCAGTTATAATTCCATTTTTAGGGGACTCTTTGGCCACTAGATTGGGGGCTTCTGGAGATAAGATTCACCCTTAAGTCGTTTTTACTGGTGCAAGCTCTCACTGACAGTATCACCTCAGTCTTTATTTGTGGGGTAAACAAATTGCTTCTAAAACTAAACATTAAAAATGAAACACTATTATTCCTGTTAGATTAGAGCTTTTATTTTTTTTAGTTTGTTGGCTATGTGCATCTGAAAGAAATGTGATTTAATATGGAAAAGAACCAGAAGCTTTCCTGCATTGAGAAGCTATGAAGGGGTTCTAATTTGGAGTCAGATCTCATAACCTGCACTCAGTTAAAAGTGGCCATTAAAATTTAATTTGAATGACATAGGAGAAAAACAGACTTGAAAGAAATTCCTTTTGGAGAATGTGAAATTCAATGAAATACACATAGGTATCAGGCGAGGGTTTTTGGGGGTATTTTTTTTTTTTTTTTGCCACTTTAGTCTATTCAGAATTTATAGTTTTCTAATATTGGGATGCTTCTTTTGAAGAAAGATATTCTTGTGCCATATAAATGTAAATACATACTTTGGGGGCATTTTCTTTATTTCTAAAATTTGCAAATATGGAATTAGGGAAATGCTTGTGCTTTGTTTCGTAGGCTCCGCTACATAAACTCATAGAAAAACCTTTATTAATTATGGATACTCTTGTCTGTTCTAGACATTGATGAATGTTTTGCACACCCTGGCGTATGTGGGCCTGGGACCTGCTACAACACCCTGGGAAATTACACATGCATCTGCCCTCCTGAGTACATGCAGGTCAATGGAGGCCACAACTGCATGGGTTAGTACTGGTCACCAAGTTAACTAGCTAGTCACAGCAGCTGACTTCGCTCCTGTGCCACTCCTATAGCACTTATCATGCAGAAAGTCGGGGACTGAAATCTGTATGAACAATGATGTACTTCAGAGTCTTGTAATCTGTGGCTCTGTCTCAATTTTGAAACTTTCACTAGATCCATTTTGTTTATTTAAATCTGGGGTTTAAAAAATCTTTAGATGTTGCAGTTGCAGATCTTAGATAATTTTTAAATCCAGGTACATGAACTGTACGTTGTATATAAATCAGAACATTTAAACTCTTTCTGAGACAGTCTCTCTGTGTAACTCTGGCTGGCCTGGAACTTGCTACGGAGACCAGGTTGGCCTTGAACTCATAGAGCTTTGCCTGCCTCTGCCTCCTGAGTGCTAGGGTTAAAGGCATGCAGCATGACTCCTGGCCTGAGAACATTAAATATGATGTACTTCAGAGTCTTGTAATCTGTGGCTCTGTCTCAATTTTGAAACTTTCACTAGATCCATTTTGTTTATTTAAATCTGGGGTTTAAAAAATCTTTAGATGTTGCAGTTGCAGATCTTAGATAATTTTTAAATCCAGGTACATGAACTGTACATTGTATATAAATCAGAACATTTAAACTCTTTCTGAGACAGTCTCACTATGTAACGCTGGCTGGCCTGGAACTTGCTACGGAGACCAGGTTGGCCTTGAACTCATAGAGCTTTGCCTGCCTCTGCCTCCTGAGTGCTAGGGTTAAAGGCATGCAGCATGACTCCTG